TTTGTCGTACTGTTTTAAAACATAAACACCATAGGACTCATAAACAGAGCCAGACCTTTTTTTAAAATGAATCACGTTTTAATTCATTGCTACATGACATTGCTATTTTCATGATGCGTTTCTTTTTTGGGAGAGTATATTTGTTCACATGTATACTGTCAGGCAAAACATCGCCAAAAACATAATAGTAGTTTATATAGATGAACACTGGCCAAATTGGCACCAAAAATTTCCACAGACGGATCGTTTGACCCGTGTACAAAACTCCTTGGTTTCGTCACCCACACATCGCAACCTTCCAGGCAAACAGACTCCCAGACAGGCAATCAGTCCACAGCAGAGATAATGGACATAATAACAGTACACCATCACCCGCTCGTCAAACAACACAATAAAATTTTACTGCTAACACTCAGTCTGCTCCAAGCAATGAAAAACCCCAACAAAACAAACAAAACACAAAACAAAGCCAAAGCGGCATATAAACTCCCAAAAAGTTAAGTTAAACTAACCATTATCTAAAATCGAAATCAAAAACATATCAAAACCATAAAATCTTCCAAACGTGGCAAAGTAAATGCCAAAATTAAAAATCTAAACTAAAAATTCCACTCTAGAAACCACTAAGAAACATACAAACCCATAAATCTAGAAATATTGACAGGGCAATATCCCAACAGGTCACACAACATCAAATTCCAATCTACATTAAATAACAGAACGCCAAACAGAGAAATGCACACACTGCAATGAAACAGAACGCCCGAACACGTCCTACTACACTGCAAGCACACGCACACGCACGCGCGCACACACACACACACACACACACACACACATACATACATACATACATACATACATACATTGACCAGCTATCAATTGCTTGGTTTCATTCAAGAGAGACAACTCCGTTAACATTTTTCATTAGGTTGTGAAGAGTTATCACCCTTGTTTACTTGCTAGCAGACGACGTTTTCAGTGATCCTCAGTATGGATGATTTAGAGTAGAGGAAGTTGATTTTAGAGTATTATTTTGAAAAATATTGTAAATGGATATGGCATTGAGCGCCAGGGAGGCGCAGGTAGGCCCAGAAAATTGACTGTCGGTGACAGGAGGCGGCTTGGTATTCTTGTTTCTAAAACCAAACGAAGGAGTTTAGAAGACTTAAGGCTGGATATGATTGATGGAGGAACTGTGGCTGTCTGTAAGGAGACAATTAGAACTGAGCTGCATGCAATGGGTCGGCAGAAAAGTCGAGGAATTCCATCACCGACCATGAAACCTGAACAAAAGGAGCGAAGGTTGAACTGGTGCTTACAGCATAGAAATTTTAACTGGGACAATGTGATTTTCTCAGATGAAAGTTCTGTGTGTCTGTTTCCTAATACACTGAAATGCTGGACCAAACAAACTGAAAAGCCTTTGTATCAGCGCCCAAAGTACAGTCCGAAATTTAACGTGTGGGGTGGCATATCTGTGTTAGTGGCAACGCCCCTCTGTGTATTTGAAGGGAATATGAACAGTGAGCGGTACACAGCTATTCTCGAGGGACATTTACTTCCATCTGCTCACGTGTTCTATGGAAATGTTTTGATTTTCCAGCAGGACAACGACCCAAAACATCGTTCAAAACATTCACAGGCCTGGTTCCGGACCCAAAATATGACATTATTAGATTGGCCAAGCTATAGCCCTGACCTAAATCCAATAGAAAATGTTTGGGGACTTATAAAGGAAAGTGTCAATAAGAAAAATCTGACAAATATTGCTGAAATGAAAGAAGAGGTGGTCCGATATTGGGACAGCTTGGACCACGACTTTCTAACTTCTTTGATCAGTAGTATGCCCCCACCGCATTGAAGCCTGCATTGCTGCCATGGTGACTTGACAAAATACTAACTGTTCACCTGTCTTTGAATCTGGAGTTATGTTCTGCTAATATTCACATTTAATACGTGAGTAATGAGTGAAAAAAATATAAAAATTACAATCTTTAAATTCTCAATAATTTCTTGTTGTACTGTACATACATACACTACAAACACTCCTGAACCCACCTTCAAAGCCTCAGGTATATGTCTAATCAAAACTGGCCTTCAACGTTGGATATAACCAACTAGTACCAATATTCAAAAAACAAATCAAAGAATATATCAACCATCTTTCGATCGAACACTAAATGGCCTGGCAAGCCCGTGTGCGAAATTCACATTATGTCGGAAAGAGCCAGATCATCCTGACTATCGGGCATTCTGATATTCCAACTGTACCTGTATGTACCGACGTGAGTAGGATAACTGTCCTTGCTAGACCTCCTTGCCCATTATGGTAAAGTTACAGTCACTGCTCGACTATTTGTTAAGGTAATCTGTTTGTTGTTATTCGATACCTGCCTTGTATGCAAACACATTGATCCTCGCTTGCATCATAATATGTTCAACATATTTGAAAGGGCAAATCACATGCAGTGAATATTACCGGAACACTTGAAGCTTAGAGTCTAATCAATACAACACGTGACAGACTACCTCGCTAAATAAATCGAACATTCGAAATAACGCGGTAAATCATGTTCCAATGATGTAAAATTCAATAATACAAGACACCGTGTGTTCCAATCCAATGTCGGGGCGGTGGGGTAGCCTAGTGATTAAAGCGTTGGCTCGTCACGCCGAAGACCCGGGTTCGAATCCCCACATGGACACAATGTGTGAAGCCCATTTCTGGTGTCCCCCGCCGTGATGTTGCTGGAATATTGCTGAAAGCGGCGTAAAACCAAACTCAGTCAGTCAATCAGTCCAATCCAATGTCATTCAGTATTCGTTATGTTCCTTGTGGCTTTTGTTTAAGTGTTCGATAAACTCATTGATGGTAGTATGTATACACATCTTTATGCTTATTATACTGATACTCATCGATTTAAATGTTCAACATGAGGTTAAGTATTAGCAATAACAACCAGTCAGTACATGGTCGAAACTCATGACTACCTGTCTGGTTTATTTCAGTCGCACAACGTTGAAAACCTGGCTGGTATATCCTAGACACCCAAACAATAAACACTTTGACAACCTGGCTGGGATATCCTCGACATCCAAACAATGGACACTTTGACAACCTGGCTGGTATATCCTAGACACCCAAACAATGGACACTTTGACAACATGGCTGGTATATCCTAGACACCCAAACAATGGACACTGTGACAACCTGGCTGGTATATCCTAGACACCCAAACAATGGACACTTTGACAACCTGGCTGGTATATCCTAGACACCCAAACAATGGACACTTTGACAACCTGGCTGGTATATCCCAGACACCCAAACAATGGACAAATTGACAACCTGGCTGGTATACCCTAGACACCCAAACAATGGACACTTTGACAACCTGGCTGGTATATCCTAGACACCCAAACAATGGACACTGTGACAACCTGGCTGGTATATCCTAGACACCCACACAATGGACACTTTGACAACCTGGCTGGTATATCCTAGACACCCAAACAATGGACACTTTGACAACCTGGCTGGTATATCCTAGACACCCAAACAATGGACACTTTGACAACCTGGCTGGTATATCCTAGACACCCAAACAATGGACACTTTGACAACCTGGCTGGTATATCCTAGACACCCAAACAATGGACACTTTGACAACCTGGCTGGTATATCCTAGACACCCAAACAATGGACACTTTGACAACCTGGCTGGTATATCCTAGACACCCAAACAATGGACACTTTGACAACCTGGCTGGTATATCCTAGACACCCAAACAATGGACACTTTAATAATCTGGCTGGTATGTCCTAGACACCCAAACAATGGACGCTTTAACAACCTGGCTGGTATGTCCTAGACACCCAAACAATGGACACTTTGACAACCTGGCTGGTATATCCTAGACACCCAAACAATGGACACTGTGACAACCTGGCTGGTATATCCTAGACACCCACACAATGGACACTTTGACAACCTGGCTGGTATATCCTAGACAACCAAACAATGGACACTTTAACAACCTGGCTGGTATATCCTAGACACCCAAACAATGGACACTTTGACAACCTGGCTGGTATATCCTAGACACCCACACAATGGACACTTTGACAACCTGGCTGGTATATCCTAGACACCCAAACAATGGACACTTTGACAACCTGGCTGGTATACCCTAGACACCCAAACAATGGACAAATTGACAACCTGGCTGGTATATCCTAGACACCCAAACAATGGACACTTTGACAACCTGGCTGGTATATCCTAGACACCCAAACAATGGACACTTTAACAACCTGGCTGGTATCTCCTAGACACCCAAACAATGGACACTTTGACAACCTGGCTGGTATCTCCTAGACACCCAAACAATGGACACTTTGACAACCTGGCTGGTATATCCTAGACACCCAAACAATATACACTTTAACTACCTAGCTGCTATATTGTGAACACCCAAACAATGGACACTTTGACAACCTGGCTGGTATATCCTAGACACCCAAACAATATACACTGTAACTACCTAGCTGCTATATTGTGGACACCCAAACAATGGACACTTTGACAACCTGGCTGGTATATCCTAGACACCCAAACAATGGACACTTTGACAACCTGGCTGGTATATCCTAGACAACCAAACAATGGGCACTTTGACAGGTTTAGTATATCGTGGGGAATATTGACATGATTATATCAGCATTTTCTGTCCATGTTTATTTCTTTTCGAATGTCTGTTATCATATATAAAATTATCTTCGTCTACTGCTAAGTGAGTGAGTGAGTTCAGATTGCCACATCGTGACTTCTACTGCTGAAAAGGGCTAAACAGCTGTGCGACTGATATGAACGGATCAATTGATATCAGCGCTAACACATTCCTCGTATGTACTATATGTATTGATATATTATTGCATTGAACTATGTCACATATGGTTGGTACAATTCCTGATCAATCCTTTCTGGTTGGTGCTGGCGGGCGTTTAACAGGACCGCAGAAAGCTTACAATTTGCCAGAGAACTTTGTTAATTTCTTTACTTGGTATTTTGATTTTGATTTTGTGGAATCGTCACATCATGATTACTGTTACATATGCAATCTGATTTACAGAAACTATCCTCGTGGTCATGACGACAAGCAGTAGATGTCCAGTTAGATCTTTCAAAACCAACGGCCACGTAAACACCCATCACCAGTCAGACTGGGACGATGTGCTGCCTGTACCCAAACTCAGCTTCTCTGTGGCATCTGTCCTCGTCTTCTGTCTGGCGGTGCTGTGCTTCGTGAACAGCCACGATGCTGGTTGTGTATGACGACACATGGGCGATCACCAACAACAGAGATGTGTTGCCGGAAACTCCACTCATCGCCATATTTGCTCATGACTTCTGGGGGAACCTGTTGGATGGAAATAGCCATATGTCCTACAGGCCACTTACTGTGCTGACCTTCAGGTGAGAAAATAGCATAGCATTATGAGTCTCCAAAGAGTCATATAGCAGAACCCTGTGTCACTACCATGGGGGGAACTTTCCACTGCAGGTGGAACTACGCATGGGCAGGATCTATGCAGCCTGAAGGATTTCACGTTGTCAACATCGTCCTGCACGGCTTGGTGTCGGGCATCTTCCTGGCAGTATTCTCTGTCCTCGTGTCTGGTTACCAGGTGGACCAGGAATCTGCCAGGCCGGTGTTTGCCTCGCCCCAAGCTGCTCTCATGTGTGCTGTGCTGTTTGCTGTACATCCCATCCACACTGAAAGTGTCAGTACAAACTGTTCTAAACTTGCAAGATATTTATGTAAATAATTTAACTCATGTTTAGAATTCACGTCCTTAACACTTTCCAAGAAATTTTAACACACATTATAAGTAAAATTGTCTGCTTCAATATGTTTGGAAACCTCCAAACACTGTTTACACAGAACACAAAATATCGTATCCTGACAGGAATAGCATGTAATCATTTCTGTATTCATCACTAACAAATAATGATGTTCAATTAATGCTCTATACTGGTATTTTATGCAATACCCCAGTATTCTCGCTGTTTTGATACCCACACACCTGTTCTGTTTCTAGACCTGGATACTCGAATCTCCATGAACATTTATAACTCAAACATTAAACTACACAAGATATCCTTGATATTGTGTTCCAGGTTGCTGGGCTTGTAGGTAGGGCTGACCTGCTGTGTGCCTTGACCTTTCTTCTATCGTTCCTTCTATATGCGAGGGCCTGCCTCGACTGTAAGTTGTTTTGCTAACATTGTTGATGTTTATTGTGTGTATGAAGTAATTGAAACAACCGTTGAAATAGAAACGCCCAAGTCCTTTCCATATCCAAATATCTGCTAACACCAGAGTCGATTTATCAATTCTGACTATATCGTGAGTATGCGTTTGTTTGACGCCGCACTCAGCAGTGCTACAGCTGTGCGACGTGGTCTGTAGACAATCGACTCCAGCGACTGACAACATCAGGTACGATTACACAACACGTGTTTATGAAACACTATCAAAAAGTGTTGACACCAGGTGTTCGCAAACACGTGAGCGTAATCTTCATCATTAGTGTCACCCGTCAGAAATGTATGTGAAAAAGATGTGTAGTACAAGTCAAAATAGGGAATTGTAACGGACATCATATTTGTTACTAATGCATCAAATTGTTAAATGAACTCTACATGTCCACCCTAAGACTTTACCGAGGCCTTGTTACCTTCATTGAATAACTTCTTTTATTATTATTATGTTTTACAGATTAAAGATGAAAATGCAGCAGGGAGGGTTCGGGTGATCCTGGCACAGTCAGGCTGGTAAGGCTCATAATCAGCTCAGGGCCCTCGCCCCCTCTACACGCAGCCCAGACAGCGAATGGGACTTCTCCCAGGAATCACTGTCTAGTCGAACCCACCAAGAACTTTCCGGAGAATATGAAGGCTCCCCAACACTGCAGCCTTCTGCACCACCTAGAGTGTCAGAAGGGCTGTGCTCCCAGTGGAGAACCCGGGCACTCTCCTGATCTGCGCTAAGAGATCAGGAGGTACCAAACCTAGGGCACCAAGAACAATGGGGAGCCTGACGACAGTGTACTTGGGATGAAAGCGAGACAATTCAAAGGCGAGGTCCGCATACTTATCATGCTTTTCCTGAATCTTGCCAATCACGTTGCTGTCAAAAGGGACAGAACATTCAATGATATAAAAAAATTCATTGGTTTATCAAAAAGAAAAGATCAGGTTTGTTAGCTGGAATTCTTCTGAGGCTGTATATGGGCCTGTTCCAGAGAAGTTTGAAAGCATCATTTTCCATGACGCCCTGTACATGTTCAGGGTCGTACCATGGATGGACCTCGGAGTCAAAGCCACAGGCATGGCGGAGACTGTAGCTACCGTCCCGAGTCCTTCTCCCTGGTGTCTATACTGGCCAGTATGTGCCTGTGTTTCGTGTCATGGATCTTTCTGATTTCAGCTCCATGCTTGGTCAGCTACCGTCCCGAGTCCTTCTCCCTGGTGTCTATACTGGCCAGTATGTGTATGTGTGTCGTGTCGTGGATCTTTCTGATTTCAGCTTCATGCTTGGTCAGCTACCGTCCCGAGTCCTTCTCCCTGGTGTCTATACTGGCCAGTATGTGTCGGTGTGTCATGTCATGGATCTTTCTGATTTCAGCTTCATGCTCGGTCAGCTACCGTCCCGAGTCCTTTCCCTGGTGTCTGTACTGTCCAGTATGTGGCTGTGTGTCATGTCTTGGATTTTTCTGATTTCAGCTTCATGCTCGGTCAGCTACCGTCCCAAGTCCTTCTCCCTGGTGTCTGTACTGGCCAGTATGTGGCTGTGTGTCATGTCTTGGATCTTTCTGATTTCAGCTTCATGCTTGTTCAGCTACCGTCCCGAGTCCTTCTCCCTGGTGTCTATACTGGCCAGTATGTGTCTGTGTGTCATGTCATTGATCTATCTGATTTCAGCTTCATGCTCCGTCAGCTACCGTTCCAAGTCCTTCTCCCTGGTGTCTCTACTGGTCAGTATGTGTATGTGTGTCGTGTCATGGATCTTTCTGATTTCAGCTTCATGCTCGGTGAGCTACGGTCCCGAGTCCTTCTCCCTGGTGTCTATACTGGCCCGTACGTGTCTATGTGTCATGTCATGGATCTTTCTGATTTCAGCTTCATGCTCGGTCAGCTACCGTCCCGAGTCTTTCTCCCTGGTGTCTATACTGGCCAGTATGTGTCGGTGTGTCATGTCATTGATCTTTCTGATTTCAGCTTCATGCTCGGTCAGCTACCGTCCCAAGTCCTTCTCCCTGGTGTCTCTACTGGCCAGTATGTGTCTGTGTGTCGTGTAATGGATCTTTCTGATTTCAGCTTCATGCTTGTTCAGCTACCGTCCCGAGTCCTTCTCCCTGGTGTCTATACTGGCCAGTATGTGTCTGTGTGTCATGTCATTGATCTATCTGATTTCAGCTTCATGCTCCGTCAGCTACCGTTCCAAGTCCTTCTCCCTGGTGTCTCTACTGGTCAGTATGTGTCTGTGTGTCGTGTCATGGATCTTTCTGATTTCAGCTTCATGCTCGGTGAGCTACGGTCCCGAGTCCTTCTCCCTGGTGTCTATACTGGCCCGTATGTGTCTATGTGTCATGTCATGGATCTTTCTGATTTCAGCTTCATGCTCGGTCAGCTACCGTCCCGAGTCTTTCTCCCTGGTGTCTATACTGGCCAGTATGTGTCGGTGTGTCATGTCATTGATCTTTCTGATTTCAGCTTCATGCTCGGTCAGCTACCGTCCCAAGTCCTTCTCCCTGGTGTCTCTATTGGCCAGTATGTGTCTGTGTGTCGTGTCCACCTTCTGTAAGGAGCAGGGCATCACTGCCATAGTAAGTAGTCACTCAACTTAATTACTAGTCTGTATAAGTGTAACTGACTGGTAAGAGTATCTGACTGGTAATAGAGTATCTGCCGAATGAAGGTGGCGAACACCCGGCAACTGTAGACATATTTGGCTTGGAACCTTTGTTTCGGCTAACACTGTTGTAATTGTCTCATGGAGAAGAGATGCGCATTTGAGCATCAAGATAACCATGCAGACATTCATCAGACATAGGAACCTGTTACATAATAGGTTGTAGCAACTAACCTGTGACTCCAAATTTAGACTTATTCTTGAAATAATACAATTGCTTCATCCGGGTCAAGATAACCTACACACATATATCAAATATATAAGAAACGTCAACTCCAATGAATGATCAGTCTCGATTATTCAAAATATTCCACTGATCGAAAAAACATACTTGCAGTCAATATCATATGCATGGAAGGGCGCGGATAACAATTGGTGTTAGCGAACACTTCCATGTGTGTAACGTGGAAATGGACGATACTGACAAAAGCATTTGTTGTCACAGCTGCACCCATTAACCAGTCCCTGTTTTCGATGTTGACATTTTAGCAAAGAACATTTTTAAATATTCACCAACAAATATTGTTTCTGAAGATTACATTGTATATAAAGCAATGCAAACACCTTATTTCCCCATGGCAATTCAATACGAAATAATGGAAATATTTCTTAATTCATACTTTGGGGAAAATATCTATTTCAGTAGTAATAGATTCAATGTGCCGGTGGATTATCACGGATTACAGAGGACAGTCATGTGAACTGCTTCTTCAACTGGACAGGAGAGAACTGTGTGACAAAACGCAGCAAAGAACACAGTGCGCCAAAACGCACCCGAACACATATAGCTAGGGACTTGAAAACTTTGATTTTCACGTGCACAATGGACGGCACATTTGATTTCGTGTCTGTTTTAAAGTTTAGTTGTGTGTTGTACCTCAATGTAGCAACATGTAACAAGTGTTTGCCACTGATATGGCAATGTCCCCCGCCGCTAAAGAATGGAATATCTATATTTACTGCTTTTTATTTTTTGGTCACATACAAGATGCCTGAAATGATGGGTGTCTGCATAATCACCAAATGCAGGCTGTCAACATAATTGAAATCATTGGGTGGAATGTTCTATGAGATATCGCGCTTAAAAAAGTTGAAAAGCGGTCAAAGTGTCGTGGTGACCTTGAAGATAAGGTCAAGGTCACCCAAATAACCTGGTGTCTGCGTAATCCCCAAATGTAGTCTGTCACCAAATTTGAAGACATTGGGTACAACACTCCATGAGATATCACTTTAACAAGAATTTGAAAAGTGTTCAAAGTGTCATGGTGACCTTAACAATAAGGTCAAGGTCACCCAAATAAACTGGTATCTGTGTAATCCCCCAATGTAGGCTGTCAGAAAATTTGAAGACACTGGGTACAACAGTTCATGAGATATCGCGTTAACAAGAATCGGGCGGACGTACGGACGGACAGACAATAATGTTTCATTTCCAATATTGGAATTTAGAATAGAAACGTTGCATAACAGCAACTTAGTTGTTCACTTATAAAAGTGGACTTAAAACACAAAGGTGTGTAAAAGCATTAAGATAGAACATTGTGTAGTTTAATAGCCTTAATAAAGTTGAATTTGTTTCAGTTAGAATTATGTTTTTGATATTTGGAGTATCTTCACTCCATCAACAATTGCCTGGACTTCATGTGCACACGAGTAAGGTGGACTGTTTAAGCCAAAGTCAGCGTGAGTACTGGAAAGTTTGGCGAATAAAAGTAGATGAATAACAATTTTTTAGACTGTCATATGTTCAATCTACAAGTCAATACTACCTTCGGGTTATTGATTGACATGTGTGTTGCATTTCCAGGGCATATGTAGCGTGTTCGACATTGTCGTAGTGTGTAGAGTCGACCCTTTCCAGCTGCTGTCTTCGAAAAACCGGAGTGAGGTGAATGTAAACGAACTAACGAATTATTAACCTCCTACTTCCTTATGAAGAATAACGTAAAGTGATAGTCCCAATAATATAACTTTAACACAGATGCCATTCCTTAGCAATATTCTCATGTTTGAACACTGCAAAATGCCTATAGACATATAAACCTTCAGCACGGAGTTTAACACCCTTAAGGAGTAAAAAGTCTTTCAGGTTTCGGTTCCACGAAAGCATAATGCGTCTGATTATAACAGAGGCTGAGTGACTATGGTAGATCTGACATAGCAGCCCTGAGATGTGCTATCCGGAGTGTAAATAGTAAAAGTCTTGTGTTTAGGAGCTTGAATTCTTTGGAAATGTTCTCTCCGCGTTAATCACTAATTGTCATTGACAAACACTGGTGTACTTTTCTGTAATTGATCCGTATAACAAAATATCCCCTATACATTTTGCATAATCTATCGTTTTTGGTGGGCCAGTTGTCGCCCTTGGACGATCAGATCAACGTCTGTCATCAACGTTATTTGTCTGTTGATATCGTGATTATAATCTGCTGATGTAGTTTTTTGTATTCATTTCTCCCTTTTCCGACAATAAGGTGAAACATAGTAACATGTCTTAAATTATGTCCTCGTCAAATTACAATGCACAAATGAGATCTAAACATGCAAAGTATCGAAAACTGAATTTGATTTACGCTGCTGGATGAATATCTGCTGGTTTGGTTGTAGCAGAAATGGGTGACGGGACTCATCAAACGTCATCTCATCCTGTTACTGACTGGCGTTTTGCTCCTCCTCGTCAGACTATGGATAATGAGATCATCAACTCCTAACTTCTCAGTGGATAACAATCCACATACCATGGTCCACGGCACAATATTGAAGGTAAGATGCTGAATAGGATTTCTGTTGCCATACAGTAGGATACAGTATGAAAATTTCAACTACGTGTATTATCTTACCATGTGTGTGTGGCTCAATATTGACAGTAAGGTGCTGAATAGGTTTATTGTTGCCATACATTAGGGTAACAGTATGAAACCTTCCACTAACATCTTAGCATGTGTGGTGGCTGGTTAGCGTGTCATACTTTCCCTTTGAAATTGCGTGACATCCTATTTCGTCTTCCTTTGTAACGCACAATAGCAATATCGTATAGCACTATAGCTACACGGCGTGGACATGTCACTCCGATATGGTCCTACTAAGATGTTTTAATCGTGTATTATTATTATTATTATGTTTTGCAGATTAATGATAATATGCAGCAGAGAGGGTTCGGGTGATCCTGGCACAGTCAGGCTGGTAAGGCCTATCATCAGCTCAGGGCCCTTTCCCCCTCTACACGCAGCCCAGACAGCGAATGGGACTTCTCCCAGGAAACGCTGCCTAGTCGAACCCACCAAGAACTTTCCGGAGAATATGAAGGCTCCCCAACAGTGCAGCCTTCTGCATTACCCAGAGTGTCAGAAGGGCTGTGCTCCCGGTGGAGAACCCGGGCACTCTCCTGATCTGCGCCAAGAGATCAGGAGGTACCAAACCAAGGGCACCAAGAACAATGGGGAGCCTGACGACAGTGTACTTGGGATGCAAGCGAGACATTTCAAAGGCGAGGTCCGCACATTTATCATGCTTTTCCTGAATCTTGTTAATCACATTGGTGTCAAAAGGGACAGAAAATTCAATGACATAAATAAATTCATTGGCTTTATCAAAAAGGACAAAATCAGGTTTGTTGGCAGGAATTCTTCTGAGGCTGTATATGGGCCTATTCCAGAGAAGTTTGAAAGCATCATTTTCCATGACCCCCTGGACATGTTCAGGGTCGTACCATGGATGGACTTCGGAGTCAAAGCCACAGGCATGGCGGAGACGGTAGTAAAAGCAACGAGCCATGCCATCATGTCGTTTAAGATATGCTGTTTGTGCCAAGGAAGGGCATCCACTGACAAGGTGTTGGACAGTCTCTCCAAATTCATTACACAGTTGACATTTCATATTGATATTTTCTTTAAGAATCACATTTTGGCGATTACGAGTGGGAAGTGACTGGTCCTGAACAGCAAAAAGGGCGCCCTCAGTTTCACATTTGAGACCAGCTGACTTCATCCAGGCGAAGGAGTCGGTGGGATTGCTTTTCTGTTCCACACACTGCATGTACATACGATGCAATGGCTTCTCAGAAAGCTTCTCCACAAAAGACCGACTCTGGGCAGACTTGGTGAAGAACTTCACCTGGTTTACGCCCATCGCTGTACCGTACAGCAGTACATCGCCATCAGCAAAATCAACCTCAAATTTCAGATTCTGTCCAACTACCTTGGCACGCTTAAAATAGCTGTGGAATTCCTTGCTTTCATCATGAGTCTTCACGGGATCATCCGATAAATAAATATGTGCAAAAGTACACACAAGAATTCTATCATGAAGAGCCTCCACATTAATCAAACCCCGACCTCCAGAATTGATTGGCATATATAAACGGTTGTGAGAGGAACGAGGGTGGTGGGCTCTGTTATCAGACATGATCCTTCTGGTCAGGCGGTCAAGACTCTGAATGTCTTGTTTTGTCCAATCAACTACTCCAAAGGAATAGGAGAGGACTGGCACAGCAAAAGTATTGGTGGCTTTGACCTTGTTTCGAGCATTTAGCTCTGAGCTCCAGATTTTCTTTAAGCGAGATTTGTACTCGGCCCGAAGTTTATCTTGAATCTTGGCATTCTGGAGCTTGTCTCGAACTTGCATTCCAAGATAGGTGTAGGCCTGATCTTCCACAAGATGCTCAATAACTCCTCCCCCTTGTAACTTGACCGATCCACCAGTAACTACCTTGCCACGTTTCAAATGAAGACTATTACATTTGTCAAGTCCAAACGTCATGCCAATATCATTAGAAAAGGACTCGACAAGGAGAACCTGTTCTTTCAAATTGGTATCTCCTTTGGCAAGGAGCTCGATGTCATCCATGTAAAGGTGATGAGTAAGTGGTGTTGGAGATCTGTGCTGAGGAGGTCCGGGATGGTAACCCTCCTCTCTGTTGAGCAGAAAGCTCAAAGGATTTAGAGACAAACAAGAAAGCAAAGGACTGAAGGAGTCCCCCTGGAAAATTCCCCTTCTGATTGGAATATATAGATTCCGAATTCTGCACCTGCCCTTGCGAGTACATCTCAAGTTGAGTCGACCAGCAGCTCATTAAAGACTTGAGTAAATCAAGTAGTCGCTCCGAGAGGTCAATACAATGAAGAGACTTCAGAATCCATTCGTGAGGGACAGAGTCGTATGCTTTTTTGTAGTCAATCCAGCACATGGAGAGGTTGCGGTGATATGTTTTAGCCTCTTCCAAAATCAATTTTTGTACAAGAAGTTGATCCTTGCACCCCCAACATCCGTTTCTTGCTCCCTTCTGCTCTCTGTAAATCATATCATTGGAAGAGCAGTAACATGACACGAGGTTTGTCAGACACCCTGTGAAGATTTTATACTGAGTATTCAAACATGTGATAGGGCGGAAGTTTCCTTTCTTGGGGAGAAGTATTGTGCGACCTTTGCAGAACCATGGAGGAACATCACCTGTGTCCACAAGAGAATGGAAACAGTGAAGTAATGGTGTTTGGACACAGGGGAACAGTTTCCAATACCGGTTCGAACACCATCAGGCCCTGGAGCTGTATTAGATTTGGAATTTTTGATGACACTTTTCAGGCAACCTGGTGAGATGTAACAGACAAACGACCTAGTTACTTTCTCATGCATTGCATGGTCATAATCACTGACCCATGGTGCCTCCAGGTTACAGTCGCCGGGTACAGACCACAACTGTTTCCAGAACCTTTCATTGGCATCCATGGGAGGCCGATTATCATGCTCACCATCACCGTTTGTTTTCAGTTGCCTGTAGAAGTGTTTTTTCATTATTTCTAAAAAGTTTATTCTGTTTGATAAATTTTATTTTATTTTCCCATTGTTTCTTTCTTTCAGTCCAAACCTATATTTTTGCCTTAAGGGAATCGACAATTTGAGAAGTATCTTTTCTTTCGTTGTTTTGTATTTCAGTTTTAATTTTCCCCAAATTGCCTTTTGTCGTTTAGACATGGGATTCCCTGATGATCTTAACTTCAGGCAAAGCTCTATCCAGGAAATGTATTTTCTAGTTTCTGTTAGTTTTACTTGAAACCGGTTTTTCTTTGGTGTATTGTTCTTAGTACTGGATGTGTTTTCTTTGGAAACTGTGTGAAGTTCCTCCAAGGTTCGAGCGGCAGCATAGACACAACAATTAACTTCATGTAACGAACAGTCCGCAGAAACTTTCATAGAAATAATGTCATTTAATAAATTGATTTCATTTTTGGGAAAAGATTCATTTGTTTGTTTAATTGGCCTCCGTTTTTCTAAAGGTATATCAGATACTTCATCATAAATAGAAAAAAACAAAATATACACAGGATTTTCGGAAAGATCTGCAACTGAGGAAGAGGGGAGAGAAAGAGTGAGGTTCCGAAATTTCGGGGCCAATTGGTTCTGCACCGGAAGAGTTTCCATCAGGAAGAGGAGAGAGGTTAACGCGGACGTCCATAAGAAATTTTGGGTCTGCTGCCGCTCTCAAGAGCATTCTGCTCATGCAAAGGTTCCTGACGGGCACCAGTTGTAGGTTGAACTGGCTCACGCGGCATGAGATTTTTAGGCCGCCGGAATTGTTCTCGGAGATTTTGCTCCGTCAGGAAAGCATACATGGACATGGCATTGTCCCAATGAAGCTTAAGCGACTTGACGTTTATTCGCGGATTTGCAGGCCATCCTGTCGCTCTTGCACACTCTAGTAGTGTGGTTTTCAGATGGTTTGACCAAGATATTCTTGATCGGGTGCTGTGCCTTCCCCTGGGGCAAGTCCCATCTCCAGTAAGGTTGGTTTGACTACCGGAGGAAGGCTGACTGGGCTGCGGAGTTGAAAGATGATATTCTCCTTGGCTTTCGGTAACCCAGTGTAAAACCAGCTTCGGGGGGTCAGCTTATTATTATTATTATTATTATAGGATATTTATATAGCGCACATATCCAGACAATTAGTGCATGCTCAAGGCGCTGGTATTTTTCCCTCTATCATTGGATGTCAATCTCAACGGCACATCAACGGCACATCGTATTATCAATCTCAACTCCCTGGGGAGTATACATTCAAATGCAAATGATTTGGTGTTCTATATATATATCATCTACGCTTGAGGATAACCTTGACATCTTGATTATCTGACGTAAGAGATTCCATTGGGCGTACGAAGAAAACATAATGGTGAAAATATGAGAATGGATCTTGATATTGAGCTTGAATTTCTTGGGCTGATGCTTACAATTTTTTTTATTTTAATACGGCTTTGGACGAAATCAGGACTTTTGTTTCAGATTTTGAATTACAACTACATTTATGCCATCAACACCTGGCTGCTGTTGAATCCATGGTGGCTGTGCTGTGATTGGTCAATGGGCTGTATACCTGTCATCACCTCATTGGCAGATCCAAGAATCCTGGCAGTCATTGTGCTCTGGGTTGGGTGTAGTGCCTTGCTCTATTGCTGCTATCAAGGGGATTTCACAAGAAGGCGCCGGTATACTGCTTAATAGTTTTGTATACATTCTTGCATTTGAAATTTTAGAAGGTTGTTGCTGTTCTACTTGTGAAATATACTGCTCTTTTAAATTTTCTAGCAAGTATGTTTTAATCCGATTTGCTATCAATCTACGTGCGGCGGTGGGGTAGCGTAGTGGTTAAGGCGTTCGCTCGTCACGCTGAAGACCCAGGTTCCATTCCCCACATGGGTACCCCGTGTGAAGCCCATTTCTGGAGTCCCCCGCCATGATATTGCTGGAATATTGCTAACAGCGGCGTCAAAACCCAACTCCCTCACTCACTCAATCTACGTTTCCTGTGTGGCTGGATGATGAGAAAATACATGCTTGTGGTAAGAGGCGACTAACGGGATCGGGTGGTCAGACTCGCTGATTTGGTTGACACATGTCATCGGTTCCAAATTGCGCAGATCGATGCTCATGCTGTTAATCACTTGATTGTCTGGTCCAGAGTCGATTATTTACATATTCCGCCATATAGCTGGAATATTGCTGAGTGCGGCGTAAAACTGAACTCAAACACAAACAATAACATAGCACTGTTAATATATCCCTATATTTTACAATGTGCTTAGACTACAGAATCGTGTTGTTTGCAAGATTTCCTACAGTGTTCTTTTTTTTGGTTGATATTCCCTATGTATATTTATATTTACCTTGCAGTCTTCTGATAACGTCCCTGGCAGTGATGGGTATTCCCTTCCTGCCAGCCAGCAACCTGTTTTTCCGTGTGGGCTTCGTGATCGCAGAGAGGATTCTGTACCTGTCCTGCGCTGGCTTCTGTATGTTGGTGGTGCTCGGGGCCAGAGAAATCTGCCATCATTTTCACCCAACAGCTAAAAAGGTAGCTATACATATACGAAACAACCCCCAAACAATTTCGTGATACTCGTTTACGTGTTCTTAGGCATAGAATACCAGTCGAAGAAAACAACAATATCCAAGGACAGAATCAATGTTTCGCATGTTGAGACAGTCAAGCAGAAACTGTTGAGACAGTGGGGAATGATCAGCCATGAGAGAGGATAGGTCATCTGTCAGGAAACATGAATCTTATATATCAAGCGAGGAAACAATATTTCAATGAAAATATCTAACAAATCGACGTTTATAACGTATGTCTGTAAATAGTTTATGATGTTTCAGTGTAACTCACAACTATGAAGCTCTTCACCGGGAAGCGTTCGCTCGTCACTCCGAAGACCCGGGTTCGATTCCCCACATGGGTTCGATGTGTGAAATCCATTTCCGGTGTCCCCCACCGTGATATTGCTGGAATATTGCTAAAAGTGGTGTAAAACCAAACTTACTCACTTACTCTTCCCAGGATCACACTTTTAGTTCTCAAGAAAGTAGAGTTGATTCCCCTTATCCTCTAAGATTCCTTTAGAAGTCTATGATGATGAAATAGTTTGGACATTTTAGTTTGTTGTCTTTTTTAGCAATATTAAAGCAAAATAGTGTCAGACAACCTAGGGACCGTTCTTAATTTATGTCCGGGGGTGGTGATGATGATTTTAAAGATATTAAAAACTTATGCTGAAAAATTATGGGGGGGGGGGGGGTGCGGGGGAGTAATTGATTTTATACATGACATTACGGGGTGAAGGGATCATCATCCCCCTAGCCATAAATTATGAACGGTCCCTTAGAAGGTTTCACAGGCTGTTCCCTTGTCGGAAATCGGTGCTACGGCTTGACGAGCGAATGATTTTAATACTTTTCAACCCCAACGCCCCAGAAATCGGTGTAAGAATTCAGGAGGAATCAGTCTTTGATTTCTGTTGTACTATCGACATTGTCAACATTGTGTGCTGTACCACAGATTGTGTCCGCTGTGTTCCTGTTCCTTGTTGTGCTGTGTGTCGCACGATCGGCTGAGGTAAGTTGCACCATCTCATCAAATATAAATATGTCAGGGTAGAGATTGCGATCTACCAGTAGAGACTCGCCGTATCTACTGGTAGAATCTTTGATCTTACTAGCAGAGACTGCAATCAGAGTCTTTGCTGGTAGAGACTCTGATTATATAGAATATCCTATACTATCGCAATCTCTACTGTTAGAAACTCCAAACTGATCCTACTAGTAGAGATTGCAATTCTACACTTATGTAAGGAAGTGAATATCGTTTGAGACATCATTCAAGCAGTCCCACTAGAACCGGACACACCACACAGCAAAGTACGGAAAGTGACAACTGTTAGATTGATGATGGAGTCAGGGTTGGCGGTTGATAGTTGTTTTTATATGACCTTGAATGTACAGGCAGCGGCCATGTTCTTCAAATAGTGTCTTTGTAGTTTGCCCACAGATCAATGAGAGTTTATACCAGTTGAATCGGGAATTGTCAACCAGTAGAGACTCCGATTTCATTCTTTACTGGTGGGTACTGATAGAGATTGAGATCGGCGGAGTATCCACTAGTAGAATCTCTCACACGGAATCTCTCATACACACATGGGAGCGTGTGTGCGTGCGTGCGTGCGTGCGTGTGTGTGTGTTACTAACTATTGTGTTGTTTGAGTCGCCTCCGTGGTCTACTGGAAAGAGGGTCTGCCGGGGAGAGTCAACAGACTGTTGCTTAAGGGCATATATAGTGGGACTCTCTATTATCGCGGGCTCTCTTTTATCGCGGCACGCGAAAACATCGGGAAAGCAGAAACACCACGCCCCGCATCGGCTGTTTACATATGCAAATTACGTAAATATATTCATCGCTCTTGAAAAAGTCATTTATTTCATTGGAATGTCATGTCTAATCGTAAAAAATATTTAAGCATTCATCTTTTCAGTAAGTTCTAGAACATTTTGAAACTAGAATGACCCCTACTGCCATTACATCTAGCATGAATCAAAAATTACTTCGTCAAGAGTAATCCTGCGACAACTATAAGGTCATTTGGATATTTTCCGTGCTAAAAATATAACAGGAAGTGACGTATTATGCAAATTCACTCTACACACGGCAGCAACTCGTATGGTACGTTTTAAGGCGAAAAAACAATATTTTGCAACGTTATTGTTACCTTGTATCCAAATGAACAGAAGTTTCAGATGTTTGGGTTAAAAACATGATGTTATTACTAATGTGAATGAAATTCCTAAATATTTTTTAGTGATCAAACTGTTTAGATTCATTTCTTGTCTTAGTAAACGTTTCAAAGTGTCACTGCTTGTACAGCGTGCCATAGTAAGAAAATAGCAATACCGCGATAATAGAGAGTTGCTTCAATTTCCGGGTCAAACGAGAAAATCGGAATTGCCGCAATGGTATTAAACGAGTTGCGACCATGTGTCACATTATTTGTGACAGAAATGAAGATTAAACATCAGTCAACTGAATATATATATAAATTACTAAATGTCAGTAGCCGTATATAATCCCGATGGCGACAACATTAACTACCGCGATAATAGAGGGTCCCATGACAACAAGGACTAGTAGGTTCGGAGTCATTCCTATAAGTCGAGGAAGGGTGTTGAGCTGCGACATGGTATCTCATTTGGGTAGCACTATTAAAAGGACGGCATTGTTGGAGTAGTACAATTATCCGCCCAGACATAAGTACATGCATTGTACGCGTAAACGCACGTAAGGACGCAGAACGAACATTGTATGGGCTTCTACGACTGAGGTTATGATACTCCCTTGTAATCATGCAAACACTGAATACTTGGAAAATATCAGTCATGCCGAAAATAATTGCCTACAGTCTATTCAGGGTACAACTGCACTGTGTTTAACGAATTGGGGACGTATACCCGTGGTTATATAGACGCAAATTTAGTTATATCGGCGACGCGTAAGCGTCTATATATATAACCACCGGTATACGTCCCCAATTCGTCAAACACAGTACAGTTATCCCCATTCTAATTCAACTCTTTTTACGCTGTTTTTTCGTGAAAGAAATTCATTAGTTAAACCAGGTCAAAGTTCCTCTTTGTTTGACCAAAACCGGACACTGGCAACTGACGTTGTGTCTGACATAGTTTGACATATAGCAGGCCATGGTCTTGTCAAAGGCCAAGGTCGAATATCGCCACGTTCTGTTGTGACGTCACTTGAATTGTTCGATGACGTAATTGCATTCAACCCCGTCAGAAGTTGGTTTTGAGTAAACCAACAAATTCCTTCATTGATTCCTTTTTCTTTTCAACACAAATTCCATGTACTTTAGCAATAATAACGGTAATGCTATTTTTCCTTCGTCGGGCAGTTAATGGAAGACCTCGGGCTTCTGCAAATGATAATGCCCTCAAAAATAGTATTACCCTTGTGTGAGCGGGCCACTGCAAATGACGTCAAAAATATTGTTACATGATCTAACAGTGTTGGGTCAACAGCCCGTTGCGAGTTGTTTGAAGTAAACTTACAATTAAATTTATGGTACTGTTTTGTCTTTTTCCAAAAAAATTCCATCCATTTTAGCGGAATAGGGGAGTTAACATACCTAGGGCTTCTGCAAATGATAATGCCCTGAAAACAGCGTTACCCAAATAGTGTAGGGATATAGTATGACCAGAAATTATTGAGAATTTTAGGAATATGTTTAATTGGATTTCTAGTATAAACAACCTTGACCAGCTATCAAGTGCTTGGTTTCATTCAAGAGAGACAACTCCGTTAATCCTTTTTCATTAGTTTGTGAAGAGTTATCCCCCTTTGTTTACTTGCCAGCAGGCGACATTTTCAGTGATCCTCAGTATGGATGATTTAGAGAAGACGAAGCTGATTTTAGAGTATTATAACAAGGACATCAGATCAGCTCAAGTTATTTCAAGTAGAACAGGCATCCCTTTGTCCACTGTTTATCGTGTTTTGAAAAATATTTCAAATGGATATGGCATTGAGCGCCAGGGAGGCGCAGGTAGGCCCAGAAAATTGACTGTCGGTGACAGGAGGCGGCTTGGAATTCTTGTTTCTAAAAACAAACGGAGTTTAGAAAACTTAAGGCGGGATATGATTGATAGAGGAACTGTGGCTGTCTGTAAGGAGACAATAAGAACTGAGCTGCATGCAATAGGTTGGCAGAAAAGTCGAGGAATTCCATCACCGACCATGAAACCTGAACAAAAGGAGCGAAGGTTGAACTGGTGCTTACAGCATAGAAACTTTAACTAGGACAATGTGATTTTCTCGGATGAAAGTTCTGCGTGGCTGTTTCCTAATACACTGAAATTCTGGACCAACCAAACTAAAAAAACCTTTGTATCAGCGACCAAAGTACAGTCCGAAATTTAACGTGTTGGGTGGCATATCTGTGTTAGTGGCAACGCCCCTCTATGTATTTGAAGGGATTATGAACAGTGAGCGGTACACATATATTCTCGAGGGACATTTACTTCCATGTGCTCACGTGTTCTATGGACATTTTTGGATTTTCCAGCAGGACAACGATCCAAAACATCGTCCAAAGCATTCACAGGCCTGGTTTCGGACCCAAAATATGACATTATTAGATTGGCCAAGCTATAGCCCTGACCTAAATCCAATAGAAAATGTTTGGGGACTTATGAAGGAAAGTGTCACTAAGAAAAATCTGACAAATATTGCTGAAATGAAAGAAGAGGTGATCCGATATCGGGACATCATGGACCACGACTTTCTAACCTTTTTAATCAGTAGTATGCCCCGCCGCATTAAAGCCTGCATTGCTGCCCATGGTGACTTGACAAAATACTAACTGTTCACCTGTCTTTGAATCTGGAGTTATGTTCTGCTAATATTCACATTTAATAAAAAAAATTACAATCATTAAATTCTCAATTTCTGGTTGAACTGTAAATTCAAAGGTTTTGGTGAATCGATATTCAACTTGCGACCGTATATGCTGATTATACGGTCGGAAATTTATAGCATTGACCAATCAGAACTCGTGTTTCATACTAAGTTGAATTAGAATTTAGCCTATTTCTTATGCTTGCTGTTATACATATCGTCTTGTCATCTGTGGTAAAGTTGCGTTTCTTTTTTTCAGAGGAGCAAAGAATTTCGAGATGACCTGACCCTATTCACATCTGGACTCAAAGTTTGTCCACTGAATGCTAAGGTATGTATTCGTGGTCAAGGTCAACGTGCAGTAACCCATGTCTTTGTTACCCTCTTGCGTTGATACAGTCTATATATTATTCAACCTAATGAAGAAAATAAGAATGACCTGATTCTGAGTTGCCCCAATCTGGTTATAAAACCGTTATTTTCAGATTAGTGAGTGAGTGAGTTTAGTTTTACGCCGCACTCAGCAATATTCCAGCTATATGGCGGCGGTCTGTAAATAACGAGTCTGGACCAGACAATCCAGTGATGAACAGCAATATGAGCATCGATCTGCGCAATCGGGAACCGATGACATGTGTCAACCAAGCCATCGAGCCTGACCACCCGATCCTGTTAGTCGCCTCTTACAAGCATAGTCGCCTTTTGTGGCAAGCATGGGTTGCTGAAGACCTATTCTACCTTGGATCTTCACGGGTCTTTATTTTCAGATTAAAACATGAGACGTGCAATGGAACGGGAAGTGCAATAGAATACCCCAGCTAAGCCTATCCCACCTAAGCTTTGGGGCGGTGGGGTAGCCCATGGTTAAAGCGTTCGCTCGTCACGCCGAAATCCCGGTTCGATTCCCCACATGGGTACAATGTGTGAAGCCCATTTCTGGTGTCCCGCGCCGTGATATTGCTGGAATATTGCTAAAAGCAACGTAAAGCTAAACTCACTCACTTGAAACACCTGGTATGTGTTAATGCCATCCTTTCGCGAACACCTGGTATCAATATTGTTTGACAGTGTTTCATAAATACATGTTATTTAAGTGAACACCTGGTATCAGTACGGTTTGATAGTGTTTCAAAAACACATGTCGCCTCTTACATGGTTTGATAGTGTTTAATAAACACAAGTCGTCAGTTACATGTACGACAAGCATGGGTTACTGAAGATAAATTCTAACTCGGATCCTCCAAGTAGATACTTGTACTACTACATGTGTAACTTATTCTCAGATCCACGTCAATGTTGCCAGACTACAGAAGGAAAACAACAATACTGACATCGCTGTTGAGCATTTCAGGGTGGCTTTGAAGTACGTATGCAAATTAGCGTCATACATAGCATCATATTTCCGATATGGATCCAGAATAGATAACCTAGCTATGTTCATGTTTCCAAGTGTACCATCGTAGTAATAATAATAATCTTATAGCGCCTGATCCACATCTCTCAGGGACATGCTCTAAACGCATAATAATACATATGTTTCCGATATGGATCCAGAATAGAGAACATCCCTATGTCCATGTTCCTGAGTGCACCATGTTTCCGTTATGGATCCAGAACAGAGAACGTCCCTATGTCCATGTTTCCGAGTGCTACATGTTTCCGATATGGATCCAGAACAGAGAACGTCCCTATGTCCATGTTTCCGAGTGTACCATGTTTCCGAGTGCACCATGTTTCCGATATAGAATAAAGAACGTCCCTATGTCCATGTTTCCGAGTGCTACATGTTTCCGATATGGATCCAGAACAGAGAACGTCCCTATGTTCATGTTTCCGAGTGTACCATATTTCCGATATGGATCCAGAACAGAGAACGTCCCTATGTCCATGTTTCCTTGTGTACCATGTTTCCGATATGGATTCAGAATAGAGAACGTCCTTATGTCCATGTTTCCTTGTGTACCATGTTCCGATATGGATCCAGAATAGAGAACGTCCTTATGTCCATGTTTTCTTGTGTACCATGTTTCGATATGGATCCAGAACAGAGAACGTCCCTATGTCCATGTTTCCATGTGTACCATGTTTCCGATATGGGTCCAGAATAGAGAGCGTCCCTATGTTCATGTTTCCTTGTGTACCATGTTCCGATATGGATCCAGAACAGAGAACGTCCCTCTGTCCATGTTTCCGAGTGTACCATATTGCCGATATGGATCCAGAATAGAGAACGTCCCTATGTCCATGTTTCCGAGTGCACCATGTTTCCGATATGGGTCCAGAATAGAAAACGTCCCTATGTTCATGTTTCCGAGTGTACCATGTTTCCGATATGGATCCAGAATAGAGAACGTCCCTATGTCCGTGTTTCCGAGTGCACCATGTTTCCGATATGGATCTAGAATAGAGAACATCCCTATGTTCATGGTCCTGAGTGCACCATGTTTCCGATATGGGTCCAGAATAGAGAACGTCCCTATGTCCATGTTTCCGAGTGCACGGTGTTTCCGAGTGCACCATGTTTCCGATATGGGTCCAGAATAGAAAACGTCCCTCTGTTCATGTTTCCGAGTGCACCATGTTTCCGATATGGATCCAGAATAGAAAACGTCCCTATGTTCATGTTTCCGAGTGTACCATGTTTCCGATATGGGTCCAGAATAGAGAACATCCCTATGTTCATGTTTCCAAGTGTACCATGTTTCCGATATGGATCCAGAATAGAAAACGTCCCTATGTTCATGTTTCCGAGTGCACCATGTTTCCGATATGGATCCAGAATAGAAAACGTCCCTCTGTTCATGTTTCAGAGTGCACGGTGTTTCCGAGTGCACCAGTGTTTCCGATATGGGTCCAGAATAGAGAGCGTCCCTATGTCCATGTTTCCGAGTGTACCATATTGCCGATATGGATCCAGAATAGAGAACGTCCCTATGTTCATGTTTCCGAGTGTACCATATTGCCGATATGGATCCAGAATAGAGAACATCCCAATGTCCATGTTTCCGAGTGTACCATGTTTCCGAGTACGATCACTATTTGATGATGAGTTATAGGCGCAGGCTATATCTGGATGGGATCGTAAAATTGATTTCGCCTTCAGCATATGTTTCCTATGAACACTGAAACGTTTGTTTGGTTTATTAAATTGTAAATAACTGAATTTTTATTAATTATGCTTTTGATCAATTAGTAAGCAAATTGTTCTGTCTGGCAGTGTAACTTGATGCTTTACATTCGTGTTTTTTCATTTCTTGATCTATTTGGATTTTTCCTCAGACTCAACGCCCAATATGTCTGTGCACAGGTCTCCAACTTGGCGTCGGTCCTGAAAGAGAAAACCATCTTGACTGAAACTGAGGAATTGCTGCAGAAGGCTGTGAGTGCAAGGTACTGTACGGTCTTACCATATGACAGTAGTTCAGCCTACTGTGCCATACCCTAATGACTGACTGAGTGGTTTAGGTTTACGCCGCTTTTAGCAATATTCCAGCAATATCACGGCGAGGACACCAGAATGGGCTTTACACATTGTACCCATGTGAGTACGTGTCGAGCTGCCCCACCGCCCCATATATACCTTAATGAACTACACTGTGACTGTGTAGGATGAGATGTTCATGTGACCATTAACCTTTTAATCCTCTAGGCATCTTGGGATGATACTCCCCATGGGAACATTTAGTGAAAATCGAGGGAACTCTGACCCACCAATCGGATTTGCAATGTGGCGCCTTGAGCAGGCTTGATCCTGTTGGCGGGACGGTAGGGTAGCCTAGTGGTTAAAGCGTCCGCCCGTCACACCGAAGACCCGGGTTCGATTAACCGCCTGGGTACGTTGTGTTAAGTCCTATTCTTGTGTCCCCCGCCGTGATATTGCTGAAAGTGGCGTAAAACCAAAATCACTCACTCACTCGTCCTGTTGGCTCATAACAATATGCACTTTCTTGTTATCATTCATTTTGAGTTATTGTTTAATTGTTTTAACACGTTACTGAAGGATGCATAAATATACTGTTCAAATTAAAATGTATTATAGCAATGTAACTTATACAACTCATGGTGTCCAAGAAAAGATTTGTTTGATGCCGCACGTGCGTTTCCTGTCCATATTTGAACTGGTCTTTTGTGAAGAACTTGATAGGGCGAAGCTTGGTGTGATAAAGAACCACAGTGGATATGAACAGTTTCCTCATACGATCCTATGATCAAAAGCCTCCTTTTGAATATGAGACTTCCCATGAACTTATGTCGTGGTCTCTCAACATCTTACCCTTCTTTGCTGGTTTCACAAAAGCCCTTTTGGCTTCCCACCAGTCGAACTTACACGAAATAATCGTTTAACAATGTAAAGGACACCATGAGTGTCCCGATTACCTGATTACCTTTCCCCACAGGTAGATCCATAAGTAGATTGTGTGACATAACTACAGGTGAGTGGAACAAAGACCATGGATGACTGTGACGTCCGCCTGATTTACTTCGCCATTGTTAGGTTTTCCTCCACACGCACACACACACACGCACACAGACAAACACACACACAAACACCAGTTCCTCCAGCTTATTGTTCATGCCGTATATTCCCAGTCCAGACCATTCCGCGACGTGGCTGAATCTGGGGGTCATACAAGCAGAGTTGAACAAGACCCAGTCGGCAAACAACAGCTTCCGCAACGGTCTCCTCCACTGCAAGGTGCACACAGACTGCATGTATAATTTAGCCAATCTGGTGAGTCTGCTTGTTCATCTGACGTCCTCAATGCTCTTTCACTCTTCTACGGTACATTCTGGATGTTCGTTTGATGCTAACGTCCTCAATGCACTTTCACTCTGGCCTAGTTGTTAAAGTCTTCGCTCGTTACGCCAAAAGCCCGGGTGCAATTCCCCAAGTGGGTACAATATGTGAAGCCGATTGCTTGTGTTCCCCGCCGTCATATTGCTGGAATATTGCTAAAAGCAGCGTTAAACTAACCTCATTTATTCATTCTCTCACACATGTATAACATGGGTTCTCTCCCCTAGCAGCATAAGTCAAATCCACTTGCTAACAGAGGAGGGCTATACAATCAGCATGTATGAAATAGCACTGTGCCTGATGATGACCGTCCTGTCAGTTGTATTGCCTGTTCAGAACCGCTGTAAAGATTAAATTATAGACATTTTAGATATTCTGTTTATATAAAAATGTACCATATTGTACGTTTTCCAGGTAAGCTTATCAACAATGAGGCACAAGGTGAATAGTTTTCTATAATACGTTCCACACGCTTAAAATGTGATCTAAAGGACAGGAAGGGAACGGTTCATGGACATTTAAAGAGTCAGTGCCATATGACATTTAACGTTTTCTATGAAACGATGGGTTTTGCTTTTACTTCTGTTTCAATAAGTAATGACTGGGAATGCATTGCTTACATTATAGGTACTGATGATCAAAATGAAAATGGATAACGAAATTAATTACAGGAGCCAAATGTAACTTTCAGACTTATCAGAATAAAATAGAAAAGGAAGTAAACGTGTTTGATTAGAGAAATGTTAGTGAAGCTTATTGAGTCCAATCGGCGCGTGTCGATGTAAAGTTTATTGATCGTTACATTTAGCGCATCACATAAGTTACATGTCTATCTGTGAAGCCCATTTCTGGAGTCCCCCCACTTTGATATTGCTGGAATATTGCTAAAACAGCATATAAAATATGCCAAAAACCCAGCCAGACATCAGTGATGGTAACTTCCAATTTTTACCCACCCAAAATGGATTTAACCAGATCAGACACCAATTTCAAGATATGGTGAAGTTACTTAGATTTTACCAGACCATCGGGTTGGCTTGCTATAAATTTACACCGTCCGTCAGAAATCTAGCCCGTCTCGGTCGGTTTGACGGGCCGTATTTCATACACTGGCTAAAAGCGGCGTAAAACCCAACTCCCTCCCTCACTCACTCACTACATGTCTATCATTTCTTCTGTATTATGGAAGTGCTTGAAATGTTATTAATGCAGAACTAAATATATTGAGTTGAACAATGAGCGAATTGTAGACCCCTGACACAGATCAGGGTATGAGCTTCCAAAACTCGATATTGAGAAACACATGTCAAATGTCAATGTAGCAATCCAAGTGTATGTGTTACCTCTCTCTGCGTATCAGTAAAGTTACTTTGTCATCCATAGTAATTAGGTTTCTATGGAAATGAAGTGTTTTCGTGTAATTTGTGCGTTGCGCTGGCTCAAAAGCCATAATGGATTATCATTAATAGATAGTTTGAAGTCATAATGTTTAAAATTGTATTTAATCTTTTGTTCCGATGTATCCGTCTGTAATGGAAAACTGACTGTAACTGAGGGTCATCATGGGTGGCATGTACAATCGGATGTGTTCTCAGGACACTGCTGGTCTTCCCTATAGTGTGAACACCGGGACGTGGTGGGTTAGCCTTGTGGATAAAGCGTTAGCTCGTCGCGTCGAAGAGCCGGGTTCGACTCCCCACATGGGTACAAAGTGCTGTCAAGTGAAGCATTGGAATATTGCAATGCTCACTTGAATCCTATCAGCAACTTTTGTAGAAACGCTGATATTTGCCTCGGAACCAAGACTTATGAAAGTAAATCATTTGTCTTTCAGCTGTACCTGCATCCCGAATACATTATACAGTTACATTGCATTACTGGAATGAAAAATTGAATTAATGAGAACAGGGAGAGAAGATGTAGATGGAACATGTTGTTGTTGAAACTGGCACTTCCTACCCCGATGTCATCACCTGTGAAGATCCGGGTTAGAATTGGTTTTCAGTATGCTTGTCGCAACAGGCGACTAACGGGATCGGGTGGTCAGGCTCAATGACTGGGTTGACGCATGTCATCATATCCCGATTGCATAGATCGATGCTCATGCTATTGATCACTGGATTGTCTGGCTCAGACTTGATTATTTACACACCACCGCCATATAGCAGGAATGTTACTGAACGGTAAACAACAAACGAAACAAACAAAATATAATCCCGATATAAATAAATCATGAGTCAAACCCTTGTTCCATAATAGGAACATATCTGTACATCAAGTAAACGTAAGCGGACATTCAATCCACACACAACGTGTCCATAGCATGCTGATCTCTTTTCGCTTGTGTGTGTAAATCACAAGGTTGATGCAGTTTGAGAGGCATTGTTGTGTGAAGTCTACTCATTAGAATTTAATTGACCCAACTGACCCACTGACCAATACTTATAATGGCCCCAACACCAAGTGTGTATTCCTTGGCCTCCATTTGATAACCATGACGATCACTGTGATGTTTTTACCACCAGTACTGGCACCTAGGACGCCACACAGACGCCATCGACGCCTTCCACAATGTAACACAGGATGCACCAACACACACTGCAGCCTGGATACAGTTCCTCCAGCTTCTTGATGTTCTAAGTAAGATGCCTAAAGGGTTCTGTAATCAGATGCTTTGTACAAGCTGATCTTCCCATTTCGAGTTTCTACATATACTATATTTCTGCTTATAAAGTGAAAACAGTTACAGTTAATCGTTTCATGAAGGTTTTCCTTGAAGACAAATGTATAACGTATGTGACCAGCTGTTCTTGCATCCAGAGCTATACAACCGTGCCATTGAGGTTGGAGAGAAGGCTCTGGAGGTGTTGACATATGAACCAGAGTTGACGTTTCGCCTCGCTACTATTTACCTAAAGACAAAGAAATACAAGGAAAGTGAAAAACACCTACAGGCTGCCATCAAGCGAGACACCCGGAATCCGTATCTACTTCTGAATCTAGGTATGTCAGCTACACCCGTGAGTCAACAAGCCTTATACGTTTGCTGTATAGTGTGTAAACCTGTTATTTCTGAACCTTAATTCAAGGGAAACAGCTCTGAAGCTCCACCAAACGAGACAACCAGTATCTAACCAGTGTACGACAGCCATACACACGAACCAATGAGCCAAATTGAAACCCTGTTACCTTTCACTCTATCGACATCATGGTTAAGGTATTTTCCCGATCTAGTAGCTACCACAACGCAAAGTATTGCAAACAGTTAACAGCTATGGTATTCCCATAACTCTTACAGGAGAATGGGGTTGGTGGGGTAACCTAGTGGATAAAGCGTTCGCTCGTCACGCCGAAAGCCTGGGGTCGATTCCCCACATGGGCACAATGTGTGAAACCCATTTCGGGTGTCTTCTGCAGGAATATTGCTAAAAGCGGCGTACAAACAAACTCACTCACTCACTCATTAGAGGAGAAAATCTTATCCCCGTGGGAATTACAGTTACCTCCTAAATAAACAGGGCTACGACATTTCTACGTGTATCATGTTCAACTTTTCACGTTTGTGTTCTACTCTCTCTTTAGGTGTTCTGTATCGTCAGTCTGGGAACAAAGAGAAAGCGGAGGCAGCCTTCAAGAAGGCACTGAAGTTGGCGCCAAATGACCCGCTCATCCTTCAAAATCTCCAGGCGCTTCATACAAAGAAGTTATATACATAAGAAATTAAACTTTGATTCAGCGTGTTGTGTAGCCTTTGCTCTTTTATAATAAAGTCATGTGTATTTGTGTGGTGATTTGCTGTATTATTTATCCAGTAAATATATTGAGAATTCCTTCGTTCTCTTTGGATATACAATAATACCAAAGCTCGTTGTACAGGACTCAGTGGAACAAAATTATCAGTGATGAAACAGTGGACTTGGTTTATATGATCTTTTGTAGAACGTCCGAAATCGAATGGAAAAACATTGTTGCATCAGTGTCTTAATGACGTCCCAGACACTAACTTTGTGAAACATGGGTGCAGTTGCAGCACACCATCACGAAGTAACGACCCCGATATTTATGAGTGAGTGGGTTTAGTTTTACGTCGCACTCAGCAATATTACAGCTACATAGCGGCGGTCTGTAAATAATTGAGTTTGGACCAGACCATCCAGTGATCAACAGCATGAGCATCGATCTGCGCAACTGGGATATGATGACATGTGTCAACCAAGTCAGTGAACCTGACCACCCGATCCCGTTAGTCGCCTCTTACGACAAGCATAGGTTACTGAAGACCAATTCTAACCCGGATCTTCACGGGTATGTGTCAACTAAGTCAGCGAGCCTGACCACCCGATCCCGTTAGTCGCCTCTTACGGCAAGCATTGGTTACTGAAGACCAATTCTAACCCGGATTTTCACGGGGGGGTGTCAACCAAGTCAGCGAGCCTGACCACCCGATCCCGTTAGTCGCCTGTTACGACAAGCATAGGTTACTGAAGACCAATTCTTACCCGGATCTTCGAGGGTCTCTGTATCCAAGAAGCAACGACTGAGTGTTGACGGAACCTATGATAACAAGATATTTGCCTTGCATATTCTAAAAAGGACATTTGCCTTTTGGAGGTTTGTCCATTCCCCGGTATTACCTGACCTTAAGTATTTATGCGCGAAGGGAGAGTAAGTGAGTGAGTTGAAATTATACGTCGCATCGGCATTTTTTCAGTTACAACACATGCCATTGAAAAGAGGAACATAGACGGAAGGAGACCTATTTCAGTTTGGCTTTCTGGAGACACACGTCTTACTCTATTATGTAGCTTTTAGTGTGTTGAAACCAATGTGACGTGTCGGAAACAGTTCCCTAAGTGTAATCTTGGTCATAACTCTAGGATGTTACAAGAAATCGATAGGCTACACATTTTGATTTCCACAACACTGTGCTTCATTCTTATCAGAGCACCGGTTTCTTCTAAATATCCTGCCCACGCACATCGCCGACCACGCTATTTTGTGAAAGTCGCTTCCCGATGGTGATGTCATACGTACGTCAACATTGTTATACATACTAGTATTTGGTATTTTCATTGAGGCGAGGTTTATGAATGAAAATACACACGATCAATCTATCCTGCTGCTTACATTTTCAGATCGGATGCTTCTTTCGTAGGCCTACCTTTAGAATACAGCACCACAAACTTTATGAATACGTCACAATATCCTTTTACGTAATTTTATGTGATTTTGTTCTGGAAACAATGCCCTATGACGCCTTCATAGCAACACGGTTGTCTAAGCTGGTTCCCGGCTCCCTTTGCCGCGCGTAACCTTGCGACAAAGTATAGTGAAATATGCGAGACGGGGTCCAGCTTACACGGTTGTCTTGCTCAGCGAGTGCGTTTAAGCTCCACTCACTGATGTTTCATCTCTACTAGATACGTCATTGCATAAGCCCAACGATGTCGAGAGTTTCCAGTAGTTGTTCATCGGCGGATGCGCAATGTTTCGCAAGGACCAGTTTAAAATATTTTTCCTTTGTTCACTAATACGCTCATATTTATTTGTACTGAGAGGTGCTGAGGTGTTATGTTTTGTGTACCGGTCACATTCTGACACATTCTATTATTCACAGTTTTGGTCAATTTAATTATTCAGATATATTTTATATTCCGGTTTCAACGTAACTATTAGGACTAAATGAATTATAAATGAGAACAATTTAAATATACATATGCTCATGCCAATAATGGTTGTCACCCCCTTCAATTTTTTTTTAATTGGAGAGGGAGTGTGGGGTGGGGGTGTGAGGTGTGTGTGGGGAGGGGGGTGACAACCATTATTGGCATGAGTATATATTTTTTTCATTCAGTAATTTGTATCATTACACAGAAATGGAGTTTATTAGTATTTTATTTTTCGAAGCGGTAAGAATGCTTTACACTGGACTCATCAGCCATTTTCGTGTCGGTTCGGTCAATGTATTCTATTTATTAGGACTATTTCAAAGGTTTAGGGTTAGTTCTAGGGTTAGGGTTTAGGGATCGGGTTAGGGTAAGGGACCCAATATAGTAGGTAGATGTCCGGTGTAATGCATGAGGGCCATTTGTTGTTTTTCCTTTTGCATTTTTCATACCTTTTTTCAACAGTGTCTTCAGTTCGAGCGATATCGGCTCTTTCCATACCACACGGTATCTTGTAGGTTACGGAATGGGACGATTGTGCCAATTAGCATCGGGCGGGGCCATTCGGCAATTGTCCGAAGGTTAAAATCACGAGGCACCAAGTTTAATACCCGTAACCTTCGTAATTGTCCGTGACCTATTCGACTCTTTCCGTTCATTTCCGTGACGTCACAGGTATGACTGGATAAATGTACACATTCTAGCACGACATTGTGTGATACTCGATTCTGATTGGCTTAGAGCTCATAAAAAACCGTGCTTAAATGGCAGTTTAAGACCGCTTATTCAAGTGACCGATTCACCGCGTATGAATACAATGAACTCCTTGACCCCTTTGGTTGTAAACAAACATGTCGGACATCGGCGATTTCTTCCTCGGCTTCATCTTTGACGTTTTTGAAGTACAAAGCGACTGGTTTGAAGAAGTATTTCTTGAACCTGATCCAAGTGAAGAAACTACGAAGCTGGAAAATTCGTCAGCAGCGCAAAAGCGGCAGTATTCAAACCGGGTCTAGATCTAGCGGGCATGACGTCGACAAACACACGTCGGCCCACACGTCCTAACCTGACCGCTTCCGTCACGACCGTAATGCCCAGTCCTTCCACTTCCACTGTCCATGTATCCCACATAAAACGTGGCATGTCATGTCTTTTCCAAATTGGGAATAGTAGGGTGGTTATCAACAATTATTTCCGTGAATAAAGTTAGCGGCGATTAAACTTAGCGAGTTCACGGCTTGAATTGGGGCGAGTCGATTGTTATACAGTAGGGGAGATAATAATTCGCTTGAGAAAAACCAAATAATTGAACTGGCTCACAGTATAAACTATAATTTTTTTTTCTTTTTGTATGCTACTTGTTACAAATACAAGCATACTGCTTCCTGAAATATAGCATTTATGTTGTTGAAAATGTCTTATTTTGTTCATTACACAACCTGTCCCTCAACGGGTCGATTCAAAGCCATTTCAAGGAAAAAGGCCCCTTCACGCCCAGTGTTCTTGTGCGCCAAACAGTTCGGTTTTAAAACGCTTAGAAGTCGTGCTAGAATGAAGATAAAGCTACTCTGTTTCAATTTTGCGGACCATCATCGTTGATTTCAACCGCTAAATGTTTAATATAAAACCTCACGCTAACGCGTTCGGTTTTAAATTACATTTAGTGGTCTTACATCAACGATAAACGCCCACAATACTGAAAACAGAGTAGCTTTATCTTCTGATTTTGCAACAGTGTGGACGTAGCACAGTCGGTTAGCTGTCGGGCTAACAATCCGAAAGTCGCGGGTTCGCGTTCGACGGATTCTCACAAACTGGTTGCTTGTCTTAGTGACCTACGTCAGAGAGGTTGTGGTGCTGTATTTTAAAGGTGCTCCCTTTCGTACTTTTACATAATGTTTTCACATGATTAATTTCAGTATTAATTTGTTTTGCACTGGGACCAGACAGGAGGCCAGTCTAAATCATTTGGCAAATAAATATTATTATGTGTGTATTTATATAGCGCTGTAGTCCATCCCACATGCATGCTCAAAGCGCTTCTTTGTTTGTCCCTCGATCATTGAATGTCAATCTCAGCGGCACATCATATTATCAATCTCAACTCACTGGGGAGCATACACCTCTTGCAGCCACTAGGCGCACTGAGTTAATGTGACTTTCCCATCCTTTCGATGTACCCATTCACCGCTGGGTGGACTGGGACACATTGTCACAGTACTTTGTCCAAGTTTACTGCACGTTGCTGTACCTGCAACTTGGTGTTTGCGCGTATTCATGTGGCCACCATCTGGTCATTTACCAACGGAGTCGTGGGTTCTTTTAAGTGCACAGAGTTGTTTACTGTATACTAGGGGTTGTGACAACACTGAAAGAGTCTGCACACAAAGTTGACTTCAAGGTTTTTACACCCGGTCACAGGTGAGCTCGATCCCAACACTTTCAAGCTCGCTAGATCAATAGCCTGGCGCCTTAGATAGGTTCCACTACACTAAATCAGAATCACATGCTCCCTGAGCGAGAACCGTATGTAAAACAACTGAAGAGACAGAGATATGTGACAGCTGTGATTGGATGAAATAGTGTGAGATGTTTATGCTTTTTAAAAGCACATCCATCCAGTAATTAAAACTGACCACAATTTTAAGTATTTAGTGCTGTCATTTTTATCACCATCACTTATACTTATTGTGTGTACAGATATTTTCCAGTAGGTGACATTTGGGGTTGATGTGTTCCGCTTATCCTGTGCTGGGAAAATGAGCCGGACAATTTAGCCAGAAATTGTATTTTATTGTAGTTTAAAGGCCTGACTGTACCCATGTGTACATTGAATGGCTGTTGATAGCCTGGATAATTTAAAAATAAATAAAAGGTTACTATAGAAGTCTATGGGGAAACATTTGGTGTTGTGTAACCTTAGACAGATCGCCCACCACGTCCCCCGGTTATAATCAAAGGGTGGTAACTCTGTCCTGGTTAGTCCGACAAACAAAGGTCTCGTAATAGAATAACATTTCAGCACATTGTAAGAAAAATGAGTGCATATTTTCAGGCATTGATATTAACTGATTCACAAAATCCGTTTAAGTTTTGTTTCACATAAGAAAATACATGATTTTTACGTGTACACTTCCAAACCAACGTAACGTGTACGAAATACGCCCCTGTCACCTGGGGCATAACTCCAGTATGTTACAAGAAATCGATGGGCTACACATTCTCCACGACAATGTGCTTCATTGTTACAGGAATCAATAATCGTTTTGCTCATTCAACAGCAAGTAACGATCTTTGGATAACTCATGCCTGAAGACCGTCACCTGGCTGAATGTTCCGCTCTCGGACGAAGTTGCGGTTTCAACCACGTACACATTGTTACAACGTTTTCATTTCTGCATACAGTGTAACCATATTGTATCACATTCAATTTGAGTCGGTCCTCTGTCCAACAGTATCTTTTATTTAACCAAATCCAAAACGTCTGTGCACTATATCTAGCTAGCTATCGGTGAATGTGCCTGCATTCTACTAGGTTTGTTATAGTAAAATACATGTCCCTCCTCTACAACCCTCGCTTTAATGGCGAAACAATATCCAAATACATCACAAAGATAAATGCACTTCGTAGTGTTAATTTCAGAGGAAACTGATCTTTAGCATGGTATTATCCATTTCTTGCTGAGAGGGCACAAATTATTGAAATCTATATTCATCGTATATATCGCCATTTTTGACACATTACTTAATCACCATTCAAGGAATTTTGAGTACTTTAGTTTATGTTTGAATCTAAATCTTATATTTTTACTGGGAGAATTGAATTATACAAACCAACATATTACTGTGCGAGATCCGTTCGCACTCTCATTGCATACATTTGCTCATACGTGTTAGAACATGCATGAGCAGAGTATCGTAGCAAGAATTAGGGAAATATAAATAGAGGTATTCAATTATGCTACATTTTATAGTTTCCGTAAGCGTGATGCAATGACTGACGTCAACGGTGCTTCTCATTTTTTGACTATTTCCCACGGTTACAATGAAAATCACGACAGGCAGGTTGTCATAATGTTTCTACGTCTACCGGTTTGGTGAAACCCACATAGGTTTCATGCTGCCAAACCTAGAATAACCAGGACAAACCGGGATTCGACCCAAAGGTTATGGGCGTGTCCAAGGGTCTCAACTGTAAGTTGTGGCGGCCGAGATGACACGCTGCTGCTGAGGATTCACTGTGTAATAAGCCATTCTTTACTTCTTCTTTTTCATAAGACGAATTATTAACTAGTAAATCTGATATTGCAAATAAACTTGGAGAAACTTTGGCCAAAACACTCTTCCTCATCGAATTATTTACCTCAATTCAAAAATTATAAAAAACAACAGGAAAAGAAAACTATTAATTTCATTTCAGATAATGGGGGAAGATTACAATGAACTATTTTCTATTCATGATCTTCATACTGCTCTTGATCAGGCTCACGATACTGCTACAGGGGTTGATAACATACATTATCAGCTTCTGAAGCACTTACCGGAATCATGTTTAGAAACCCTCTTACACCTTTTTGATGATATTTGGACATCAGGTAACTTTCCTTCCTCATGGCGTGACGCTATAGTAGTACCGATACCTAAACATGGACGTGATCATACGGATCCGTCCAATTATCGACCGATTTCACTAACTAGCTGTGTTTGCAAAACCATGGAACGAATGATAAATAATCGACTTGTTTGTTACTTGGAAACAAATAACCTTATAACAGATATACAATGTGGTTTCCGTAAAAACAGAAGTAATGTCGATCACCTAGTGCGTTTGGAATCATTTGTTTAAAACGCTCTAATTAATAAACAACACGCCGTGTCTATCTTTTTTGATCTTGAAAAAGCATATGACACTACGTGGAAATATGGCATTTTAAAAGATTTACATGGTTTCGGATTGCGAGACCGTTTGCCTCAATTTATAACTAACTTTTTAAGTAACAGACAATTTCAAGTCCGCGTGGGTTCTACCCTGTCTGATCATTACAATCAGGATCAGGGTGTCCCACAAGGCAGTATTTTGTCTGTGACTTTATTTAGTATCAAGATTAACAGTTTATCACAGGTTTTAAATGATTCAATTGATGGATCACTTTTTTCTGGATGATTTTAATATTTCTTGTCGCGGTAAGAATATGCATACTATTGAACGGCAAATGCAGCTGTGTTTAAATAAAATAAATAAATGGTGTCTTGATAACGGCTTTAAATTTTCTAAATCCAAAACTAATTGTATACATTTTTGTAGAAACTATAAACCGCATAAAGACCCGGAACTGTTTCTCAATGGCACTCCCATCAAAGTGTCTTCGGTTTAATGTTTGATTCTCATTTAACGTTTCTGCCGCATATTATATCCCTTAAAACTAAATGCATGAAAGCACTTGACTTGTTGAAAGTTGTTTCAAATTCTAAGTGGGGAGGGGATCAAGCCACTCCCCAACATCTATATCGATCATTGGTCCGCTCGAAACTTGATTATGGCTCCATCGTATATGGTGGAGCCTGCAAAAGCAACTTAAAACTATTAGATTCTGTCCATCACTAAGGTCTAAGACTTTGTCTTGGATCCTTTAGAACGTCTCCTGTTGACAGTCTCTACGTCGAGGCAGATGAACCATCTCTTAAAATTATCCTTGCAGTATATAACAAAACTTTATTCTAACAAGGCTAACCCTGCATTCAACTGTGTCTTTAATCCTCTTTATGAGGATTTGTATAACAAAAAGCCTTCTCTTGTTCCACCTCTTGGCTTAAGATTTAAACCATTCTTTTCTGCTGCTGGCATTGAGCTGGAAAATATAGCTCCTTCCCGTCTTCTTTCTTCTCCTCCTTGGCAGTTGGTTAGGCCACAAGTTGACCTAACATTAACAGCATTTAAAAAAGCAGAAACTAATGAATTACAATATAAACAAGAATATAATCAATCAAAAAGTAAATATAATACATATAAATCCTTATTTACAGATGGGTCCAAGGATGGTGGCGCGGTGGCTTGTGCCACTGTCATTGGATCCAGAACAATCTCCTCTCGTTTACCAGATAACAGCTCTGTTTTTACAGCGGAAGCAAACGCCATATTGACAGCCTTAAGGTATATTGGGAAACACCCTAGATATCAACAATATATCATCTTTTCTGACTCACTTTCTTGCCTTCAGGCTATTAAAAATATTTCTTGTGCACATCCACTTTTATTGGAAATTATTGAATTGTATAATGAGCTTGCTACTGGCCAATGAGACATCGTCTTTTGCTGGTTACCCAGCCATGTTGGCATTTCTGGGAATGCAATGGCCGATCTTGCTGCTAAGGCAGCACTCAACAAATCTGTGACACCAGATACACTCATGCATACCTATTGAAAGGTGAGGATCCTCCGTTTTGTATCCCTTGTGATGAGAGAACCACGGTCAAGCATGTCCTGCTTGACTGTGTTGAATTCTCCATCATAAGGGATAAATACTTCAATGTGAAAACGGTTAAGGATCTTTTTAACACTGTTAATTTTCATTTAATTATTGGCTTTTTTAAAAGAAATTGATTTAATGAATGAATTTTGAATAATATGTTCTGTACATATATGTATTTTAATTATTGGTAGATTTGATTAGTAACTTAGATTGTTAGTGGCAGTGCCCTCAAAGGGGGTTGAAGTAGCGTAAAATTATTGTCCTCCTGAGAGTCCCAAAACATTCAAAGAAAATTTAAACCTACTACTCTTTTAATCGTAGAATATATGTTCGTTTAATTTATGGCTAGATTATCTAACATTGCTAATAGCTGAGGGGGATGGTGTTAATCCAGCTAGGGTCCATGCAGGAAGCAAATGTACTGTAAGTCCCCATGGTCCCTAATATGGTGATTTACCTTCAGTTGTTGGCAATATATAGCCTGTTTTTACCTTGTATTGTCATCTATAGTTAGACTGTTTTAGATTTGATTGCTAGTTTTAAATTCGAATCTGTGATTATCTAGTTATTTTACTGTCCTTCGTTGACGGGTTTATATAGTTTACCATTGCTTACTATGCATAAAATTAATTGTTCTCGTCACGATATGGCTGAAATATTGCCGATGTGACGTTAAATTTTAACTCACTCACTCACTCACTCTTTTTCATAAATATCTCCTTAAGAGGCGACTACAGGGGTCCGGTAACTTAGTTGACACATGCCGTCGTATCCCAATTGCGTAGATCGATGCTCATGCTGTTGATCACTGGATAGTCTGGTCCAGACTCGATTATTTACAGACCGTCGCCATATACCTGGAATATTGTTGAGTGCGGCGTAAAACTAAACTCACTCACTCACTCATAAATATCGGGATCGTGACTTCGTGATGGTGTGCTGCAACTGCACCCATGTTTCACAAAATTAATGTCTGTGGCGTCATTTAGAGACTAATGCAACAATGTTTTCCATTCGATTTCAGACGTTCTACAAAAGATCATATAAACCAGGTCCACTGTTTCATCACTGACAATTTTGTTCCACCGAGTCCTGTACAACGAACTTTGGTATTATTGTATATCCAAAGAGAATAAAGGAATTCTCCGTTTATATACTGGATAAATAATACAGCAAATCACCACACAAATACACATGACTTTATTATAAAAGAGCAAAGGCTACACAACACGCTGAATCAAAGTTAATAATTGCTTATGTATTTAACGTCTTTGTATGAAGCGCCTGGAGATTTTGAAGAATGAGCGGGTCATTTGGCGCCAACTTCAGTGCCTTCTTGAAGGCTGCCTCCGCTTTCTCTTTGTTCCCAGTCTGACGATACAGAACACCTAAAGACAGGGTAGAACATATACCTGAAAAGTTGAACATGATACACGGCTAGTTATGTAGCCCTGTTAATTTAGGAGGTAAATGTAATACAGATTTTCTCCTCTAGTGAGTAAGTGAGTTTGGTTGTACGCCGCTTTCAGCAATATTCCTGCAATATCAAGGCAGAAGACATCAGAAATGGGAATACCATAGGTGTTAACTGTTTGAAATACTTTGCGTTGTGGTAGCTACTAGAGTGGGAAAATACCTAAACCATGATGTCGATAGAGTGAAAGATAACATGGTTTCACTTTGGGCTCATTGGCTCACGGGTATGGCTGTCGTACACTGGTTAGATACTGGTTGTCTCGTTTGGTGGAGCTTCAGAGCTGTTTCCCTTGAATTAAGGTTCAGAAATAACAGGTTTACACACTATACATCAAACGTATAAGGCTTGCTGGCTTACAGGTGCAGCTGACATACCTAGATTCAGATGTAGATACGGATTCCGGGTGTCTCGCTTGATGGCAGCCTGTAGGTGTTTTTCACTTTCCTTGTATTGCTTTGTTTTTAGGTAAATAGTAGCGAGGCGAAACGTCAACTCTGGTTCATATGTCAACACCTCCAGAGCCTTCTCTCCGATCTCAATGGCACGGTTGTATAGCTCTGGATGCAAGAACAGCTGGGTCACATACGTTATACATTTGTCTTCAAGGAAAGCCTTCATGAAACGATTAACTGTAACTGTTTTCACTTTATAAGCAGAGATATAGTATATGTAGAAACTCGAAATTGGAAGATCAGCTTGTACAAAGCATCTGTTTGCAGAACCCCTTAGGCATCTTACTTAGAACATCCAGAAGCTGGAGGAACTGTATCCAGGCTGCAGTGTGTGTTGGTGCATCCTGTGTTACATTGTGGAAGGCGTCGATGGCGTCTGTGTGGCGTCCTAGGTGCCAGTACTGGTGGTAGAAAACACCAGTTTGTAACCACTGAAACATCCGTTACTCTACTACTTAATGCCTCACTCAGCAATATTCCAGCTATATGGCGTAACTCTGTAAATAATCAAGTCTGGGCCAGACAATCCAGTGATCAACAGCATCACGAGCATCGACCTAAGCAATTGGGATACGATGACATGTGTCAACCAACTCATCGAGCCTTGGCCCATTTCACAAACCTTTCGTGAGCCTAAGATAACTTTTCTCATAGCATTCGTACCTCCTATGTTACAGGTTATGTATAGGAGGTACGAATGCTACGAGAAAAGTTACAAAATCGTAGACTTACGAGAGCTTTGTGAAACGGGACGCAGACCACCAGATCCCGTTGCCTCTTCCGACAAGTATAGGTTGCTGAAGACACATACATATTCATTCCTGTCATAGATAATATAATATGAAGACGAACCCTCGACTTTGTAAGGAAAAACTGTGTAAGGAATTGCTGCCTCTATCGTATGCATAGTTACTTGTAAAATGTTACATCAGGTAACATATTATAATAGAATCTGTTTAAGAAATGATCATCTGACTCCTTGACGTGCAATATGTTGTTTAGGGAAACACTGTGTAGAACTAATTCTTACCAGATTGCCAAGGTTATACATGCATTCTGTGGGCACCTTGCAGTGTAAGAGAGCATTACCGAAGCTGTTGTTTGCCGACTCATTCTTGTTCAACGTTGCCTGTACAACTCCTAGGTTCATCCATGCCTCCACGTGGTCTGGTCTGGAACACAATTGGCAATATACATTAGGGTCGAATTTCAGGCCCATGATAGGCTACGGCATGGTAATTTATAGTGTAGGGTATATTTCGCTACTATACTATGTAGCTAATACCTTCTATGTTCTGGAATCGATGATTATTCTAACGAATTGCTTGCTTTTTTCTGTTTTTATATAATAATGTAATGAATGTATATGTTTTTAACATAAAGCTTATTTGGACTTTGTTGAGCACCATGCCAAAAGTGTTGCAAGAAAAATAGCTGCCACTGTATTTGAGCTGAGATGGCCGTTAGGTATTTGGATAGATCTTTTTACACTGTTTACATCCAAAAATAAATTTTGGTATAGGATCATATTTTAGGGGTTACTTTTTCACCTAGCACCTACAGGAAGTAGGTGGAGCAGACGACATCCTGTTTACACTGGAGAAGAAATCATGGCTGCTGTCAGAAGAGAATTGACTCCCAGGTTGAAAGAAAGGTTAATATTTTTTTTAAACAGAGTGGCGAAATAGATTGCAACATTGATAAGATTTTGAATCTACTGTCTCTTGAGTCTGGAAGAAATTTTCTGCCTGTGGTTCATTAGAAAACAAGGCTAGAAATGGGAGGCTCAAATTGTCTGACCAGAGAAGTGATCGCCGACTTTGTCGTATGGTGCAAGGTAATCGTAGGCGGTCTTTAACAGATTTGACTCATGAATTCAATAATGGATGCAATCAAGTATTATCTAAAAGAACTGTTCAAAGAAGACACCATTTCTATGGTTTTCGAAAATGTTCGGAAAACTATCACAATTTCTAAGGTGAGCAGAGAATGAGGATTGCTTGGTGTAGTAAGACATTTACCACTTGACTTTGGGAAGAAAACTATTTTCTCTGATGAAACTCAGATGGTGATTGGAAAGAACAAGTCTGTTTATGTTTGGAGAAACTCTGATGAGAAGTGGAAACCCGAGTGTCTGAACGCACTGAAGGTACCGGCTCGGATTAGTGTATGTTTTGAGGGTGCATAGCAAAGGATGGCGTTGGAACACTTTTGTCAGTTGAGGGTACCCTGAACTCTCAGAAGTATATTGAACTCATTCATGAACAGTTATGGCCTGTTGTGACCAAAGTGTTTGGAAATAATGAATGTATTTTCCAAGATGACAATGCTACACCCCATAGACTGACCACAGAGTGGAAAACAGCAAACAACCTCCCTACTTTTGTCTGGCCTGCACAATCTCCAGACCTCAACATTATAGAAAATGTGTGGAAATGTCTCAAACTTAGACTTAATAAAGAAACCGCCGGCCTCAAAACACACCGGGCCCTCGTAGACCGTGTAACTAGGATCTGGCAAAACCTGACCCCAGTGTATATATCTAGTTTATACCATTCAATTCCACGGAGATTATGAGTGTAGTGATTCAGAGAGGTTATATCACTCAAAACAAGGTAAGAAAAACAATAAAGTCGTATTCATTGCTTGAACATTTCAGGTGAGAACCTCTACTTAGAACGGCGGTCATTTTTCTTGCAACACGTTTGGCACGGTGCTGTACTTGTACTTGCTGTTTGTGAATTCAAACTTGATCTCGTCACTATATGGCAGGAATAATGCCGGTGTGAGGTAAAGCCCCACTCAACTCAAGAGCCAAGAAAAATAACAAAAACTTAAATAAAAATCGAATATCTAACTGAATTAAAAACCAGATTTACGGCAAAAATCGCTCCCCTGAAAACAATATGCAATAAGGTGATTCTTTCCCCTGTGTATTTCATATGATAATATGACACTTCTCGAGTTGAGATAGGTGTGGTACCTGATACTGACAGCTCTTTCCAGCAACTCCTCCGCTTCCTCATATTCACCTTTTCCCTTGAGAATGGCGGCCAAGTTGTTCATTGCGCCAACATGTCCCGGTTTTAGCCTTGAGAAATACCATGTAAATAAGTGAAAAGGTCTTGAACCCCTGAGATGTTATAAAAGTTGATATATGAATGAACAGATCATTTTATGAACCAATCAAATCGTGATTTAATCATTTACACCTTTCAGAAAGGTTTTAGCCTAGAGAAATACCATGTGAATACGTTAAAAAGTCTTGAACCCCTGAGATGTTGTGAAAGTTGACATATGAATGAATAGAACATATTATGAACCAATCAAATCGTGATTTAATCATTTACACCTTTCAGAAAGACCGAGAACACGAAGACGTGGGTGGGTGTTTAACTGAACAACCGAATTTTAAACGAGATTTAAGTTTAAGTATTAAGTTGATGAATATGTATATAGAGACATAAAAAAAACATTTCCACTTTCTTAAGACAGTCAGTTGTACAACTGTGACTATATCATGAGTATTTGTTTGTTTGACATGACATTCAGCACTACTACAGCTGTAGGACGCGGTCTGGAAACAGTCGAGTGACACTTCTAGATATCTACCAACTTACACCAGAGCCTCTCTGAATTCATGGATAGCGATGTCTGTATTGTTGTGATCAGTCTGAACTCTGGCAAGATTGTAGTGGACCTGTGGACACGTGACATTAATACGAACGAGTTAAACTGAACCATTGAAGCAGAATTTGGTGACAAGTTCACAGCAATCTTACACCAATCCTGTGCATAACACCGATTCTTGAACTCCATAAGTATTACTCAGTCAGTGCCAAAAGTACCAATTCAGTGAACGGAAATACATCATGTCAACGGCAGCATGTGCTGACACCCCATTAGTTTTACTGCATTTGCGCCAACCTCCAGATCGCTCGATATCACTTCAAAACACTTCATAATATTAATCAAGGAAAGGAGAAATTATCCATTCAAATATTTTCCACTGGTTTTGCCCATCATGCTAAATCACCTGGGAAAGAGTTTCGTGTTTCAACTGATCTTAATCTTAGAAATAGGGTATTGAAAACTATTGCACATCCAAATTGATGTCATGCTGCATGTAACATCAAATTGTGTAAGTTACTGTATTATATTTACTCTCTCTCTCTCTCTCTCTCTCTCTCTCTCTCTCTCTCTCTCTCTCTCTCTCTCTCTCTCTCTCTCTCTCTCTCTCTCTCTCTCTCTCTCTCTCTCTCTCTCTCTCTCTCTCTCTCTCTCTCTCTCTCTCTCTCTCTGTGTCTCTGTGTGTGTGTGTGTGTGTGTGCCGGGGGGCTAAAATACAATACACCTCTTCTTCTTCTTCTTCTATTATAACTGACACTGATTGGTCGTTTGCTTTCACGTTTTGAATTTCATGTGAATATAGTTGGTGGTGACTCTGAATTAAGGTAATAAACGTGGACAGTTAGGATATATATACTACTCTGTCGCAGTGACAACAATCTCCTTTCACGTGAATATTGTTCGTGGTGACTCTGAATTTAGGTAATATACGTGGACATTTAGGATATATATACTACTCCGTCGAAGTGACAATAATCTCCTTAAGCCAAGGGTGGGCAGCCGATGGCATGGGTGCAATTCCGAAATATAATGTTCATCACCATGATGTTGCTGCAATGATGTCAAAAGCGACGTAAAGTTCTCATTGTAAACAATGTGTCTGTGAGAAACTTCTTGTCAATTCGTTCTTCGTAATGCTTCCAACAACTAGAGAATTCAAGCAAAATATACTGAAAGAAACAAATAAAGGATCACAGGAAAATTCAAGTGTTCATTTATCAATTTCCAATTTTCATCACCAATAAAGGAACACTTGAATTTTCCTGTGATCCGTTATTTGTTTCTCTCAGTATATTATACGATGACTGTCCCCATGGTGAGTGGGAGAGTTTATGTTTACCGTGCACTCAGCAGTATTCAAGCTGTATGGCGGCTGTCCTCATGGGGAACTCAAACAAGCAGCGACCAAGGCGACTACTCCCTACCTTGGCGTTCAGTGGGCAGACCTTCAATCCAGATGTGTATAAGGTCAGTTCCTCTCTATACTCCTTGCAGCGCTGAAACAATGGAGCTGCATGGTTCTACGGTTCGAGTATTTGTTTGTTGTTTTTAGTCGCACTTAGTCACATTTCAGATATATGGCGGTTGTCGGCAAATAATCGAGCCTGGACCAGACAAGCCAGTGATTGACATCATGAGCATCGACATACGCAGTTGGGATAAGATGACATGCATCGAATAAATGAGCAAGCTTGAACTCACGATCCTCTTAGTCGTCTCTTATCACAAGTATGGGTTACTGAAGACCAATTCTAATACAACCCAGATCTTTACAGGTCCACCTGTCGCAGCTTGTTATAACGGTTAATACAACCATATATCAAACCTTTAATCAATAATACTTTCATGCCAGTCAGCATAGGTTATAATTTCGAATACAGTTTGATCGATAGTATATTTATAATCTTGTACACGTGTGAAATCTAACGTATCAGGCTCCCGTCAAGCGCGAAGGTCACCGATAACGAGTTGCTATCTCGATGGGCGCATTAGGGATAAAATACACTAGGCAAAAAACATCTATAGTCACATGATGTCTAAAATATCATCGGATAATGAGGATGAACTTACCTCAGCTGATCGTAAGAAAAACACCAACACGAGGCACACGAAACCTCCGGACACAATCTGAAGTGTAGAAGCACATGATAAAAATGCTTATCCCTGGCCAACTTGACTCACACAAGTATCGACACTATTATTATCACGGAGAACATTCATTAAATCAATGCTTTCAATGAAGTAAGCCCTCGGCTAACGATAATCAGGCTTAAGACAGAATGTTGTTCAAAGTCATTATATATAAAGATAAAGACATCTCTGCGAAAAGAGTAATTTAAACAACTCCAATTATATTAGGATCATGTGTTTTTGGTTTGTTTAATGACTCGCAACATTACAACTGCATGACTGCTGTCTGTATATAATTGTGCCTGGACAAGACAAGCCACTTATTGTCATAACGTGATACGTTGACTGAGCAGGTGTATATAATTGTGCCTGGACAATACAATCCACTTATTGTCATAACGTGATACGTTGACTGAGCAGGTGTATATAATTGTGCCTAGACAAGACAACCCACTTATTGTCATAACGTGATACGTTGACTGAGCAGGTGTATATAATTGTGCCTGGGCAAGACAACCCGCTTATTGTCATAACGTGATACGTTGACTGAGCAGGTGAATATAATTGTGCCTGGACAAGACAACCCACGTATTGTCAGAACGTGATACGTTGACTGAGCAGGTGTATATAATTGTGCCTGGACAAGACAACCCGCTCATTGTCATAACGTGATACGTTGACTGAGCAGGTGTATATAATTGTGCCTGGACAAGACAACCCGCTTATTGTCATAACGTGATACGTTGACTGAGCAAGTGTATATAATTGTGCCTTGACAAGACAACCCACTTATTGTCATAACGTGATACGTTGACTGAGCAGGTGTATATAATTGTGCCTGGACAAGACAACCCACTTATTGTCATAACGTGATACGTGTATATAATTGTGCCTTGACAAGACAACCCACTTATTGTCATAACGTGATACGTTGACTGAGCAGATGAATATAATTCACTATCAAATAGTGATGATACCAGGCGTGAATATCTGGCGTTTTAACGGTGTTGTCATGTCAGCTTCATGAAGGATGACATTCCGATGTGATGCAGAGGTCAACTTTGGTGAAGAAACCTCGAGAACGGGAATGGTGATGAAGAAGAAAACTACTCCTGCTCCAGTACACACCAGGAGCACAGGCTCGTTAAAATGATAAAACTCCCATTTAAAACATTGCACCATAACATTGTATTAGAATCACCTGAATGATCGGAAAGGTTTTTAAAAAGACGACACTCAAACTGAAGCTGCATGTATCTGATTCGTCCAGTTGTCAGATATTGATTAATATCTATTCAATAATTTATGTAATATTGTAGCAACATAAAAATAGACTTTTTCCATCTGGTTTGAAGGTATGTGTAGTTAGATTGTGCTTCCCTTTATTATTGAAAAACTATTGAAGAACTGGGGGCGTTATATCAACATTCGTTTCTCACGCAACGTGTTACCCATTTGTTCTGTTCTACATTATATGTATCGCTCATATGTCTCTACTCATCATATACCTATGAATATTATGGACCATTTTGCACATACAATCCTGGCTGTCGGCATATGTTCATATTGACCACCCGGGCCGAAAATGCATCTCAGCCATATCAGCCCAAGGAGCGAAAATCCATATCAGCTGTATTGCCCGGCTACTAAACTGGTACGGAATGCATACACGCAAACGCTCGAAACTTCAATAGACGGAGCCTAGTCTATTTTAAAGTTACGTCCCTTGATGTGGTATGTGATAAAATGGTTGATATGACAGTTTCCCATTCGCCAGTCATATCAGCCCTCGGGTGGATATGGTATTCTCGGGCTGATATGACTGGCGAAAGGAAAGCTGTCATGTAATAACCTCTTATTATTGGTCCCCTCTTCGTTGATACGTTGATGAGTGTCACAAACGAACTGAGACTGAAAGGTCGTTGTAATTCTACCTTCTTTGCTACGAAATGTTGTTGCAGTTGATGACAGATCTCTCTGGCCCCGAGCACCACCAACATACAGAAGCCAGCACAGGACAGGTACAGTATCCTCTCTGCGATCACGAAGCCCACACGGAAAAACAGGTTGCTGGCTGGCAGGAAGGGAACTCCCAACACTCCCAGGGACATTATCAGGATCCTAAACAAGGAAAGCACGATGCAATTTAGCACAAGTTGTTTGTGCACTCATGTATGGTGTTCATGGTATTTTATACTGAATTGTTTTCATGTTTACTGCTGACAAAAAAAGCATGTTGCTAAAGAGAGATAATTGACAAAAAACGAGTTGCTAAAGAGAGATAATTGATCAGTTTATATTCCCTTTGTTTACGTTAATGAATGATTGTGAAAGAGTTTCCAGTGGCTGTTACTCCAAGACATATACACAAAGGGTACACAATATGTTCTCATAAGGCACCGTTCATAATTTATGTGTAGGGGTGTTGATAATGATTATTATAGAGAAGCATGTACAATGTGAAATTTATGTACAAAATAAGTGACCCCCCTGCATGCCATGTACAAATCAATGACCCCCCTCTCCTTCCCATAATTTCTAAGGATAATTTAAACATATTTTATGTACAAAATTGCCCCCCCTCCAGTACGTGCGTACAAAATTGCTGACCCCTAGCTCCCCAGAACGAAAATGGGTGACACCCCCATCTCACATCCCACCCCTGTTAAAATCATCATCACACCCCACCCCCAACTTCACCCCCTAGCCATAAATTATGAACGGCCCCTAAGCACACTACGAATGAAACTGGACATACCTGCGATAACTTGTTAGATCACCATGGTAACAGTGGTGGAACAAAGCGGCAAACGCCGTCCAGAGAGCTATGACTGCCAGTATTCTGGGGTCAGCCAATGAGGTGATGACAGGTATACAGCCCATCGACCAATCATAACACAGCCACCATGGATTCAACAGCAGCCAAGAGTTCATTGCATAAAGGTAGTTGTAGTTCAAAATCTGAAAGCAATTCGTAGATTTTGTTGTTGGTACAAGAACCTGAATGATGCAGATAACTCCATTTTGAATCAACATTTTAGGCCTTTTACCCTGTATCCTACTGTTTGGCAACAGAAAACCTATTCAGCATTTTACTGTCAAATATTGTGCCGCCACACATGATACGATGTTAGTGGAAATTGTCATACTGTATCGTATAGAAAACCGATTCAGCATCTTACTGTCAAATATTGTGCCGCCTCACATGATAAGATGTTAGTGGAAATTTTCATACTGTATCCTACAGAAAACCTATTCAGCACCTTTTTTTTTCAATATTGAGCCACATACACATGGTAAGATATTAATCGAAACTTTGATACTGTATCCTACTGTATGGCAACAGAAAAACTATTCAGCATCTTACTTTCAATATCGTGCCGTTGACCATGGTATGTGGATTGTCATCCACTGAGAAGTTAGGAGTTGATGATCGCATTATCCATAGTCTGACGAGGAGGAGCAAAACGCCAGTCAGTAACAGGATGAGATGACGTTTGATGAGTCCCGTCACCCATTTCTTCTGCAATCACAGCATTAGGTGGACTAAACAGGGCTGTAGCGACACATCTTCACAACCATAGTTCATACCGCTCTCTATTCTTCCTCACAGTTATGTAATATATTTTGCAACTAAAATTCAACATAGATTCAAATTAGATATATAGGTATACAGCAATGCAGCTTTTGGATATATATAAAGAGTCGGCTGTAATTCATAATCTATATGACAACCAGAGGTCTTCACTTACTTTGTATGTATTTAGTTTTAACAGGAACAAATAGCCAAAGTGATTCCGACAAAATATGACTTGTGACTACGTTAAGTGAAATAGGCGTTTAGCTGTTGTTCGCATTGAAATAAGCTGCATTATCCTACTCAAGTTTTTTAAAAGCATTTAGAGTGAGTGAGTGAGTTTATGTTTTTAAGCCCCTTTTAGCAATATTCCAACAATATCACGGCGGGGAACACCAGAAATAGGCTTCATAAAATGTACCCAAGTGGGGAATCGAACCCGGGTCTTCGGCGTGGCGAGCAAATGCTTTAACCACTAGACTACCCAACCGCCCCAAAGGCATTTAGACGTACATACATACATACATACATACATACATACATACATACATACATACATACATACATACATACATACATACATACATACATACATACATACACACACACACAAACATACATACATACATACATACATACTTACATCCATACACACATCTATACATTCATACATACATACATACATACATACACACACATCCACACATACATACATACATACATACATACATACATACATACATACATACATACATACATACATACATACATACTTACATACACACACACACACACACATACATACATACATACATACATACATACATACATACATACATACATACATACATACATACATACATACATACATACATACATACATACATACATACATACATACATACATACATACATACACACACACACACACACAGACATACATACATACATACATACACACAGACAGACAGACAGACAGACAGACAGACAGACAGACAGACATACATACATACATACATACATACATACATACATACATACATACATACATACATACATACATACATACATACATACATACATACATACATACATACATACATACATACATACATACATACATACATACATACATACATACATACATACATTCAAACATACATAGGACATAAGTCCTATATAAATTGCCCAATAGACCGGTATGTAACTAGAAAAGATATGTATTTTTGTTAATAACCTTGCCTTAATAAAATATATAATTTATTACTAAGTGATTGTTTGTACTCATTACTGATTTATGTATTAAACCATTACAGACTGAGGTAATCAGTATGCTAAAGTGTGTGCAGTCAACCAGAAATGTTGTTGTTATATGCTGTGGAAGTTTTGGGATGATACCCAGTGTACCTACCTACAATCACCTAAAGATATCTTTTAAATGTCGTGTTAAGTAGTAAACGTTTTTATCAATATAAAAAGGTGCCATGTATTCATCCGAATATTATGTTCTTTCACCTTACTCTTGGTGGGATCTTTCATAAAAGACAGCAGCTTGAAAGGGTCGAGTCTACACACAACGACGATGTCGAACACGCTACATATGCCCTGAAAACACAACACGCATCTGAAGTTGAGAATTCGAACAAGACATTACTAGAACATTTAACTAATAGATTTAGCTCATTCACACGATATGCATGGCAGTACAGAAAAAAACAGTATGATTGATCATGGATACATCTGTGAGGACAGAGATATCAGTTACACTTTATCAAGTTCTCTTTTTCATTTACAAAAGGAGAAGTGACTCTAAGCAGCCCCGTGTTGCTCGTATAATATCACCTGTTTGTCGTGAGTTCACCCCATTAGTGGTACGGTGTGTGTATATTTTATATTTTTGACAGTGTTGTCTAATTACAGTAATCAAAAAATTTGGGAAATACAGCAATAATTTTCGTAACTTTAGCTTGAAGATAATTATTAATCGTGATTTAATCAAAAGAAATATATCCATTGGTTATGGTGCTCTTTTCAGAGATTTCTTGCATAGGAAATCAATTGACCTGTATATTACTTTACTCAGATTAGACCATGTGAAGGGAGATCTGTTTAATTCCAACACCATGTGGTTTGAGGGGAAGCTGCAATTACTTTGAGAGACCACTTACTATGACAGTGATGCCCTGCTCCTTACAGAAGGTGGACACGACACACAGACACATACTGGCCAGTATAGACACCAGGGAGAAGGACTCGGGACGGTAGCTGACCAAGCATGAAGCTGAAATAACAGATGTATTTATTGACACTCTCAATCTCAATCTCAACAGATCATTGGAGACACCATTTATACATTTCTATATTAAGAAAAGGCAAACACAGCAAACAGATGGAGACAAGCATGCATTTGGTTCGGTGTCAAAATACAGCGTATCAATAAAGAGTGTTTAAAATGTAATATGTCTTCAATATTATTGGCGAATCAACTTACGACTGACGCATGCCTTGGCATACAGTAGGAATGAGAGAAGGAAGGTCAAGGCACACAGCAGGTCAGCTCGACCCACGACCCCAGCAATCTGGAACAAGGGAATGTCAAGGAGTCTCAGGTTTCAGTCATAATCGTTCGAATGTGGTGTTCGAGTCAGAGTTATGATTATGAATGAACTGATCATTATCTGCAAGTGTCCTTGTGACTATAAACTCACTCACTCACTCACTCACTTCATGTGGCCTCCACAAGATGAAAATTCCACGTTTTCCCCATTCACCGCAATGGCTAAAGATATATCATTCATTAGATATGGAATCGAAGATCACAGATGAGTCTAACAAACAATGCCTAGTCTTCATGAACAAAATATATGTATTGCTGTCTGTTTATACATATGGGAAGAGATCATGATTGTTTATTTGATGCAATATCCATATTATTATATTGCTATAAGCGTTATACGTTGCGCAGCAATGGTCTTGCTGTTATTTATTGTACCTGGAGATTTGGTAAGAGGCCTGGGCGTGCTATATTTAGACTATATAGTTAGAATATTAGCTGGACTGTCTTCTGACCCACGGAGTATTTTATAGAATGATCTGGAAAGGATTACAAGGGAGGTATATGATGGGAGCTAGTTGTTGCCTCTGAACTCGCATTATATGTCAAGACACCAGAAGATCAGCTTTGTGTGTGTTGATCATACCCTTAGTTGCATTACTCTTGCTGATGGGTGGCTATTACAATCACTGTATGTATTGGTATTCACTGCGCTCATACAGTCATAATGATATACCCCTAGTTGCATTACTCTTGCTGATGGGTGGCTATTACAATCACTGTATGTATTGGTATTCACTGCGCTCATACAGTCATAATGATATACCCCTAGTTGCATTACTCTTGCTGATGGGTGGCTATTACAATCACTGTATGTATTGGTATTCACTGCTCTCATACTGTCACAGTGATATACCCCTAGTTGCATTACTCTTGCTGATGTGTGGCTATTACAATCACTGTATGTATTGGTATTCACTGCGCTCATACAGTCATAATGATATACCCCTAGTTGCATTACTCTTGCTGATGGGTGGCTATTACAATCACTGTATGTATTGGTATTCACTGCGCTCATACAGTCATAATGATATACCCCTAGTTGCATTACTCTTGCTGATGGGTGGCTATTACAATCACTGTATGTATTGGTATTCACTGCTCTCATACTGTCACAGTGATATACCCCTAGTTGCATTACTCTTGCTGATGGGTGGCTATTACAATCACTGTATGTATTGGTATTCACTGCTCTCATACTGTCATAATGATATACCCCTAGTTGCATTACTCTTGCTGATGGGTGGCTATTACAATCACTGTATGTATTGGTATTCACTGCTCTCATACTGTCATAATGATATACCCCTAGTTGCATTACTCTTGCTGATGGGTGGCTATTACAATCACTGTATGTATTGGTATTCACTGCTCTCATACTGTCATAATGATATACCCCTAGTTGCATTACTCTTGCTGATGGGTGGCTATTACAATCACTGTATGTATTGGTATTCACTGCTCTCATACTGTCATAGTGATATACCCCTAGTTGCATTACTCTTGCTGATGGGTGGCTATTACAATCACTGTATGTATTGGTATTCACTGCTCTCATACAGTCATAATGATATACCCCTAGTTGCATTACTCTTGCTGATGGGTGGCTATTACAATCACTGTATGTATTGGTATTCACTGCTCTCATACTGTCACAGTGATATACCCCTAGTTGCATTACTCTTGCTGATGTGTGGCTATTACAATCACTGTATGTATTGGTATTCACTGCTCTCATACTGTCATAATGATATACCCCTAGTTGCATTACTCTTGCTGATGGGTGGCTATTACAATCACTGTATGTATTGGTATTCACTGCTCTCATACTGTCACAGTGATATACCCCTAGTTGCATTACTCTTGCTGATGGGTGGCTATTACAATCACTGTATGTATTGGTATTCACTGCTCTCATACTGTCATAATGATATACCCCTAGTTGCATTACTCTTGCTGATGGGTGGCTATTACAATCACTGTATGTATTGGTATTCACTGCTCTCATACAGTCATAGTGATACCATTGTGTTGATTTATACTGATTTGTCAACTATAGCAGTTTGTTTGTTTCACACCTGGTTCTTTTATGGACTCAGTTGGATGCATAACGATATGTTTCTGTGTTCGTCTGAGCTTTTTGTACCAAATATATTAGCATGAAAACGAGTTTTACTCACACTCTCAGTGTGGATTGGATGTACAGCAAACAACACAGCACACAGTAGAGCGGCTCGGGGCGAGGCAAACACCGGCCTGGCAGATTCCTGGTCCACCTGGTAACCAGACATGAGGACAGAGAATACTGCCAGGAAGATGACCGACACCAAGCCGTGCAGGACGATGTTGACAACGTGGAAGCCCCGAGGATGAAGTCCTCCTGCCCATGCGTAGTTCCATCTGAGATAACGATATCCAGTGTGGGACATTTAAAGTATTGGAAATTCCACTCGAAATCAAAGAGAAAAACAAATGAATTTTCTCTAGATTAGGGGGTTTCCACGCATTACATTGTACTGGAGTAAGATCACACAAATTCAATAGTCTTTTTTTCCAAATATGTTTACAGAAATGTCACTGTCCGATATAAAGCTAAAATGTCGACTGTAGGGGTTAACAGGCGCTATTTTATACGTAAATAACATTTATTTCAAATGCACAATGCCACCGAATAACTGTTTTTACCCCTGCTGGTGAATTGTCGATTCATATAGCATCCTACAACACGCATTCTATTTTAACCTAACAAAAGGAGCCTATCGATTATGTCTCACCTGTAGGTCATCACAGTAAGTGGCCTGTATGACTTGTGACTCTTTTCATCCAACAACTGTCCCCAGAAATCATGAGAAAATATAGCTGTGAGTGGAGTTTCAGGTAATATATCCTGGTTTTTGGTGATGGCCCAATTGTCGTCAAACACAAACTCCCCCTCATGACTGTTCTTGAAGCACAGCACCGCCAGACAGAAGACGAGGACAGATGCCACAGAGAAGCTGAGTTTGGATACAGGAAGCACGTCATCCCACTCGGACTGGTAACTGGTCTTGTTTTTCCTTGCCGGTAATCTTGTTCCAATCATGGTGAGTATCAACTGCAGAAATCCAAAGGTTGAGGAGCATGTGTATATATTACAAAATTGAACTGATATATGTTAAGATGCATACCAGGACCACCTGTAAAGTGATCCTTCGGTGTCAATGATTTATCATTAATCCTGGATCCTTTGTGTGGTTATGTTGGAGCATTTGTGTTAGAGTATAAGAGAAGAACCATGAGCCTGGATTATCTGAGAAAACACTACAAGTTAGTAAAACATCAATAGAAGCTAGTCGAACGAGTACACTCATGCTACAAACACATTACAAACTAAACATGTTGCCATGTGACATGCAGCAACAAATCTCGTCATTGTGGTAGATTTTCAAGCACAAAACAAGCTGCTTAATGCAGGTTTAAAGAAGACCATTAATTAGACAGCGTATTTGCAAAACGGAATTTCCGTCAAGTTCAAATACATTCTAAAAAGAATGTAGCAATGCCCCTGGCATCTAACATATTCTAAAGGGAACATAGGAATGCCCCTGGCTCTTATATTCTCTGAAAGAAGGTAGCAATACCCCTTGCATGTAATATATTCTAAAGAGAACGTAGCAATGCCCCTGGCATGTAACATATGCTAAAAAGAACGTAGCAATGCCCCTGGCATCTACCATATTCTAAAGGGAACATAGCAATGCCCCTGGCTCTTATATTCTCTGAAAGAACGTAGCAATGCCCCTGGCATGTAATATATTCTAAAGAGAACGTAGCAATGCCCCTGGCATGTAACATATGCTAAAGGGAACATAGCAATGCCACTGGCTCTAATATACTCTAAAAGAAGGTAGCAATGCCCCTGGCATGTAACATATGCTAAAGGGAACATAGCAATGCCACTGGCTCTAATATATTCCAAGGAAACATAGCAATGCCACTGGCTCTAATATATTCTAAAGGGAACGTAGCAATGCCACTGGATCTAATATACTCTTAAAGAACGTAGCAATGCCACTGGCTCTAATATATTCTAAAGGGAACGTAGCAATGTCACTGGTTCGTGTATGCGAGACTGGCTGCAACATTAGACAACACATTTGGCTCAAACCATGCATGTCAGACATGCTTCAACATTCATATAGTCATGAGGTTCCAGTCGTCTTAATTCAACCGAGACAATTCTGTCTTTACCATAAATCCGAACAACAAACTATCAATGTGTTATAAGAGCCGATAGCCGAGAAACTTCAGACGATGCTCCATTTACTTACAAGAGTTGACTTTCGAGTCGATCCTCCATGTAAAGTTGTTCAGTCCCTTCGACATGTGGAACATTTACAAACCCTCAAGGTCTGATACGGTGCAGCTGTCTGGCCACACTTTCATACATCGATTGCTGGTGGTGTTATCAAACACGTAAACAAGCTGTTTCAGAGTTAGTGCGATGGTAACATGTGCCTGGCGTTGGTATACGGGGAATTTGAAAAGAAGCGGAAATGTATGAACACATTATTCAACCTATATATCTCCATAGGACGGTACAGTATTTCTCAAATATGTACATACTGTGAAACAACGTGAAGTCCGAGGTCAGTGTGACCAACGTTTGAAATATATATACATGTATATATATATATATATATATATCATTTGACTACCGAATCTGCATTAGTCTGCAGGTCATGAAATAGAAGAGCATTCATGTGACTATGAATGACTGACTGAGTTTGGTTTTACGCCGCTTTTAGCAATATTCCAGCAATATCACGGCGGGGGACACCAGAAATGGGCTTCACTCATTGTACCCATGTGGGGATTCGAACCCGGGTCTTCAGCGTGACGAGCCAACGCTTTAACCACTAGACTACCCCACCGCCCTCATGTGACTATAAACATACATGGTATAGGTGTGTACGTATGGTCATCGTTTCCAATAACTCCTTTCTAAATGTATTGCAATTGGAATTGTGTATGACAAAGATAGATTTATTATTATTTTCATACTCTCAGAAATATTTGTCCATCAATATATGTAAGGTGACCATATTTCCATGGATGTTGAATTTATCTCCGTGGTTTTGGATACATGACTGAATATTACCAGGCACGTAACTGTGCAGCAGCAACAAGTGACCTAATGCAGCAATGCAGCAACATACGGCAAGGACATTCCAGAACCCAGACGTCATCCGAATGCTCTGAATTGCTATCGATAACTTAACAATGGTTTATATAGAATGAGTGTAAAGGCTGTGACCATCAGCATATAAAGTAAAACTGGTTCTACCAAATGCCACGCACAAAATATCAAATAATCATATCCTCAGTTAACTCAGAGTTTTCAATTTTGATTTTAGCGGGATAAATAGTTTGTTATTGTTTGCAGTTACATTTAGCTATTGATATTTATACACAATCTTCTGTGGCTGTTTACATCACCTTGTAAAACGCTATATCAAGTACTCTCTTTAAAAGATAGGCGATGATCAGAATTGATACATAATCGTCAAACGTCAGCCCACATACTCAGTCGAATACTATATTGTTTTCTTGGTGAGATTTTGAGATGTTCAGATCTTGGCATCTATAATATATGCCACAAAGCATTTAGCTGAAACATAAAAGCTATTATTCCCTTAAGGGAAAGTAAACTCAGCATAGTGGCCTTCAATATGTTAATACTTTACGCCAAACTTAAGCACAAATTCTTGACATAAACTAAATTGGACTTTCTGTCACTTTTCCATAGTAAAATGTCCGTGTATTTTCGTAATAAATTCAAGACTTGTTATTATCTGGTATTGGTACAAAATAGAATTTTAATATTCCTGATTTGTCTGGGTTTGGGTTAAAAGGGATATATTATATTGACCAGGCAACTAATTTCAGCAAGAGGTAAGCTGATGTACGTAGTTTGAAGAATCTTTTGCTCAAGAAGCAATTGTTTGAATTTGTTACCTAAACAGGTAATGAAGAATTGACATATTCCTATAAACTAACAAGTGTATTAATACAAGAATTATATCGTTATACTTGCCTTCAATCAAGACGCTACTTTCTTGTAAATAGTTTATGCAGTATACATTTAGATGTGTTCAGTACTTTCGGATGGAACACTATATTGCAATAGAGAAGGTTGTACATTAGGTGGGGGCATTAGAAGACAATAAGGAATATATAGAGTTTACGATCCTCTTCAGTTGAAAATAAAGTTTTGAAAAGTGTAGACATTTTTAACAAAATCAGAAATGATATATTTCATATTATTTTGTTATCCTTAAAAACTTATATCGTAACTAAAGCAACAGAAGGAACTGTTTGTATTTGGATTACAAAATTAATACAGACTTGAAAACACGACAGCGTTTAGTCTTAACATCGTCGGATTCCTAGTGTCATAAAATACAAATATAAACATGTAAGATGGATATGGATGAATACACATACATATCTACGTCTATCTATCAATCAAGTTGTAGACCCAGGTTCGATTCCCCACATGGGTACATTGTGTGAAGCCCATTGCTGGTATATTGCTAAAAGTGGCGTAAAACCATACTCACTCACTCCTACTTTGGTAAGAGTACAAGGCGAAGCCACATAAGGCTTCTAAAGATTATACAAGACTTTTCAACTAAGGCGATGTTTGTGGCTGGGTGGTTTAACTACTGTTAAAGGCCGCACTCTGCAATATTCCAGCTATATGGTGGCGGTCTGTAAATAATCCAGTTTGGACCAGACAATCAAATGATTTGTTTGTTTGACATGAGCATCGATCTGAGCAACAACTGGGACACGATGACATGTGTCCAGCCAAGTCAGCGATCCTGACCACTCGATCCCGTTAGTCGTCTTTTACCACAAGCATGGGTTGCTGAAGACCAATTCTAACCCGGATCTTCACGGGTCGGCATGCCATTAACATTCCACATGAACCATATGTTACTCCCTATTCTATTTTTGACAAACTATTTGTGTCCGGACATGTTTCTGACTGACATCCAGACACAGCGCCATCCCTTGCCCGCCGAGTTTGTTGTATACACAGAAGTGTGAACATCTGTGCCTATATCGACCAATGAAACCAGATGCTTTTGAAATTCAAACCAGTCTGGCAACACCCATGTGTCGTTTAAGCGTCCAATTGTCAAATTGTTTTATCAAATCATGGGTGGGTAAGATGTTTCACTAATGTCATATGTCAGTACTGTCACCGTATGCCGGCTTACTGACGGACGGGTGACCAAAGTTATCCATGTCTTTGGGAGCAGCGCGTATTGATAGTTGGCTAATCAACCAAGCATCAGAATCAGGGCAAATACTTATGCGCCATGAGTTATTAGCCAACTGTAACACATTGATTACAGTCTACTTGGGATGTGTGCTCTTTTGACATACATGTCTATTTTTTAATTCATATTTTGTTAGATTTAGGGTATGCATAGGGAGGTGTGGAAGCTATGAACGGGTCACTGGTCGATGTAATGTAGTTGGCTTTCTGGGGAGCCACTTTTCATTGGGATCACGATTCGCGAATGAAATTCTTGTTTTGTCAACTGCATATCGCACTTAAAATATCTACAATTTCGCATAACTGACGCTTCACAGGTTTATACACAATGTAATGTATATTGTAAACATACAAAACTGGAAATCCCCGATTCCCAAGTATAAATATTCCGTATTGCTGACCTGCAACTTCATATTCAAAAACTACAGTTAATCATCATTCAAAACTATTTCTTTTCTTCACCAAGTCATATTAACACACGAGCTTTCAGAGAATGAGTGAACATTGTTTTATTCAAGCTATATAACGTCAGTCTCAATATAATGTAGTCATGATTGGCGAAAGCCACATCAACAACGGTCAAGACCATAATAGCAGAACGATACACGACCCGGAACTCCGATCCTCTGTAGTGGACTTTCACGATAACATTAGTGAGTGAGTGAGTTTAGTTTTACGCTGCACTCGGCAATATTCCAGCTATATGGCGGCAGGGAATCCAGTGATCAACAGCATGAGCATCGATCTACGGCAGTGGTATACGATGACATGTGTCAACCAAGTCAGCGAGCATGAGAGCACGATCTTGTTAGTCGCCTCTTACGACAAGCAAGGGTTACTGAAGATCAATTCTAATCCGGATCTTCACGCGTCACGATAACATAATATAGATTATTTACACGGGTCCAGGGCAAAGAAATGAAGCCAATATCATAACGCTAGTGGTCTTTTTTGCACTAGTTGACCCAAATGCGAAATACGATTTGGTAAGCCAACACAATTTTATGTATCTTGAATGTAACTATTTTCAACGTTGTCTGTTTCAAATGTCGGGTATTCAAATACTAAACCTCACTCGCCTATTGCAAACACACTGTCAAGCTTTCGTGGAAGACATAACTGGTTCTCAAGCATAAACGTGCTGTTAATAATAAGGGGCAGATAATTCAATAATGTCATTTCTATTTTCTTTCATGAATGCACATGTGTCAGTGAACGCGCCTTGCGCCTTGAGCATGCACCAGTTGCGTGGATATGTGCGCTATATAAATATACTATAATAAAAACTTTTTAATAATAACGCATATGTATTTAATTCTTTATCTGTTATAACCTGGTGGAATGTCATGGTGATGACACCTAACAGACGCTTCCAGCAACACATGGGACGCTTCCAGCAACACATGGGTACTTGGCGTGACACACAGGAGTGCCTTGTACAATACCGACAGAAAAGCATCGAAAACCGACGAAAACCATCAGAGAACAACCAGACTATAGATATGTACTCACTTTAAATAGGAATAGCTACACAAATATTTTAAAATTTGCATTGCAATGATCGAAATCCACCTCATTTTAGAGTGTATAACATGCATCCGTTCCGGATCTTTATTCAATAAATCAGGGCACTGTTAACAAGAAGTTTTGTAACATTCAGGCGATAATAAATTGTGTCCTTGCATCTTCACAGGCGATGTGGTAAAAGGAAATAGTCTCATTTATTACCAGGCCATCTGAAGCCATACCAAGCATAAACCAAGATTTGCTCACTGGATACCAATAGCATGACCCATACACACTTACTTAAAGCAAGGAGATTCCTCGCGCTTAACGCATGAGGATTATTTACGTCAACTTTCTTCATATTTATTTCTCCCTGTCCTAACAATCTCCTGATACGTCTAAGGCGCCGCTATGGTTATGCAGAGTTGCGTACCTTGGGAACACAAGAATCGCATGCCTGTGTTCGAATCCTAGTTCGTCCCGATGACGATGCCAGGTTTGGAAGAAACACATCTGTCCACGCGGCATGCTAGAACAATAACCCTTCCATGTCGTGAATACTGAATTGTTGATATGCATATGTGCCAACACTTCATCACCGCTCTATCTCGCACGTCTCCTTAAAAGATCAATGACACCATGACAATGCCTTTCAAATTTGCAAGGGACATGGTTATGAACACAGCTGATGCTCATATTCCATGTGTGCGTTGGTAAAGTCGTGTTCAATCCGGGCTACACATTTTCCCGTATTTTTTCTCGAATCAGCTGAAGGTTTTTAAGGTACGTCGCATCCTTTGGGTTCAGTTGCACTGCCCGCGTTAAAGCTGGCTCGGCTTTCTCAGTCTTTCCCCATCGATGGTACAACACACCTGGGAACCGAAACAAGTGAGTGAGTGAGTATGGCTTTACGTCGCTTTTAGCAATATTCCAACAATATCACTGCGGGGGACACAAGAAATGGACTTCACACATTCCGAAACAAGTGACACTTCAGACAAAGAATGAAGGTTCAAGAATTAAAACCAGGTGATAACATAAAAATACACTAAATCTAACGTTGCATTAAACTGAAGGTGAGTTTAGCATGCGAATTTTACTGATGAAACTTTACAATGATCACCTATATCACCTATATCACTATATCTCACGATAACACACTGTATAACACTATATCACTATATCTCTCTATAGCACACTATATCACGCTATATCTCACTATATCACACTATATCTCACGATATCACACTGTATAACACTATATCTCACTATATCTCTCTTTATCACACTATATCACGCTATATCTCACGATATCACACTGTATCTCACCACATCTCACTATATAACACTATGTCACTATATCTCACTATATCACACGATAACACACTATATCACACTATATCACACTTTATCACTATATCACACTATATCACACTATATCTCACTATATCACACTATATCACTATATCACACTATATCTCACTATATCACACTGTATCTTGCCTCCCACATAAATGTCGTTTTCTGATTGGCTGAGCGCTCTTCTATTATTTACAATGTACTTCGCTTACAAGCGAGTAACATTTTCTATGTATCCCGCTGGCAATGCCGAACTCAGTTGGTACTTCGTAGTAGTAATTTTTTTTATCTCGAATATCATTGAATCACGTATGATGTACGGAAATTACCGATGTTTTGCGAATGCAAATCGAGGGAAGGGAGATAACTTTAATTTTCTTGTCTTGTCGTCTGGTACTCCATACTATGATCCGAAACCCGTGCTTCAAACAGTTCCAAATTACCATTCAGGTGTTTGGTAAGATACATACGTTGTTCACTGATCCCTCGGGGCCCAAGTGAACAACTTATAATATCCCATTATATTATACTATATCTCACTATATCACAATATCACACTATATTACACTATATCACTATATCTCACTATATCAGACTATATCTCAATGTGCATGAGATATGGTGTGTGCTATCAGGTGTCGGAAATTAAAAACATTTACAACTCATCGCAAGAGCTGTATGTTACATCTATTAGCCGCACATATACATATTTTCCCATGGAAGAAAACAACAAACACAATACAATATTACCTAGGTTGTGATGGAACTTGGCGCTGTGTGGGTCTATCTGTAGTCCAGCCAGGAACAGGTCCTCACTTTCCTGGAACTTATCCACCATGATGTAAGTATTGGCCAGATTAAACATCAGGTCTGTTTCCTTTGGCAGTGCCTTCAGTGCTTCCTTGCCAACCTCAATAGCTTTGTCGTACTTCTCTGGATGAGAGAAACACGTGATAGATTTGCGTCTGTCTGTATTGTTTCAATACATATCTAACCTTACAGGCACGAAAGCGACTATTCCTGAAAAAGATTGGTAGCTTGGGAAACATTGCTATTATCAAAGCTAATATGAATTCCATACGAATAGAGTCATTGTAATATGGCAGTTTTATACATTGTGAAACAGTGTTGTTCATTGCTTCTGTTAAGGCAAGTAGAGGGGAGGCTATATTTAGATTTGGGTAGATTTGGAAGGTTCTAGATCAACTTGAATAATCTGGAACTGGTATGGAACTTCTGGAAGCTTTTGGAGACTAGTACACCTCTTGTCTCACATTACATCAAGAGAAGATCGATATTATACACCCCAGAGACCTGTTTAGGTAGCTTGACCAACTGCTGCCATGTTATTTTATGCCGCCATGAAATGTGAACTGCGGCTCTACTTTCCAAAACACTTGTCAACTGTACAACATTTCTTTATTATCTGGTTTCACACCGGTATCTTTCACAGGCAGATTTCCTGTCAACTTCCTGTTTCAGCTTGGAACTCGACAACTAGCATCATGACATTAATATCTTACTCAGATCGGCCAGCAGCAGGAGGGTGTTCTTCCAGGCCGCTGTGTAGGAAGGCCATAGATGCGTAGCATTTTCCCAGGCAGTGAGTGCCTCTGTAGATCGCCCTGTGTCTCGATACTAAGGTATTCGTTAAATGGCAGACATGATAATATTCCAAGAGAACACAGATTGTGTAAATTTTGTAAATTAAATGTAATCGAAGATGAGTTCCACGTTTTGTTGGTATGTCCTTACTACACTGATTTAAGGACAAAATATCTACCACAGAAGGTATCCTCCCATTACCCCTACATCCCATTACCCCTACAGCTTATAACAACAAAGTTCACGGTCCAATGCACTGCTAATCCCCTTCCTGTTACCTGTTACCTGGGCAATGGACTAGCCCAAACACCTGAACACAAGATTTAATGTTTTAATTTATGGATTTAACTACACAAATAAATTAATATAATACACAGATATCTTCCTGGTCGTGACATGAAAATGAGCAGCAGGTCATGTTAACTTTTTAATGTAAATTTTTGTCTGGACACAGGATGGGGCAAGCGGCTGGTTAAGTCTCTGCTGAACTTCATTCTTGATGAGTTTGAAGAGTCTGGAGTAGGTCTCTGTCTGACGGTCGGGGAGTAAGGTGAAGGTGAGGGGATAGGTTGTGGTTCCACGTCTTGCATGTAGGATGTACACTTGATTCCACAGACCAGGGCAGGCAGTAAAGGTTCCATCCATATAGATGATTTCAGAAGACTGAAGACAATCTCGTTGGTGTAGAGGGTGTGCATCGATGTTGACTCCTCCCTCGCTCTCTTCCTCAGGTTGCTGACAAACCGGACCTTCTGGCTTGTTCTGCAAGTTGACTGGACACACTTCCAGTGTACACAAGACTGTCTCTCGGCATTCTTAGTGTGTAGATAACCATCAAATAGGACTTAGGTGCTACCTCTCCGTGACATAACAAACTCAACATTGCTAAGACCAGCCACGTTGATGTCATGTTAGTTTGTTTCCAACATTTATATACTATGCTAAGTCATCTCAAATTACTTGTTTCATCTCAGTGTCAATTTCAACATTTACTTCATTTCATCTTAACAAACTTTCTCTAACCAAGAACACCTTAATCCTTTCTTATTTGTATACACAACACTTTACTATACTAAGTCATCTCAAATTACTTGTCTCATCTCACTGTCAAATTCACCATTTACTTCATTTCATCTTAACAAACTTTCTCTAACCAAGAACACCTTAATCCTTTCTAATTTGTATACACAACACTTTAATCGCTCCCATGGGTAAGTTCATTATGCCAGACAGGTAAATGCCGTGTGTTGTTTTAACTAATGGTAGGGGTACCGGGATGTAGGGGTACTGGGATGTAGGGGTAATGGGATACAACCCCACAGTATTACCATACACATCATAATACGTGAAAATATGATTTGTTCATGAACACTAATAATACAAGTAATACAAACTTGGTATGTATATCCATCATGCTTTTGTATATAGAACAAGTACGTCATTATTGTTTTCTGACTTAGTACTTAAAGCCTGTGGCCTCATCAGTATTGGAATAAAACCGAATTGATCAGTTAAACAGTATGGCGATGTCAGCCATTGCGAGGGACTCTGCAGGATCTCAAAAAGCAACTGATCTATTAATATGAATAAAGAAATAAGTATTTTGGATAAAATTGTTAATCAAATATCTGTGATAGGACTTTAAGACGTTTTAAACGGAATGTTAATTGATCATCCAGAGTATCATTGTTCACGTCAACACAAAGGCCACAGCAATTGTGTTAAACGATATTCCTTGTACAGTATAGAACAACTTTATGGATACGTCACATTCACGAAACAAAAGAAGTTGTGATCCATAAGATTGTTCTATATTAAACAATAATGCCTCGTGCACACATACGCAATGACATGATAAGCCAAAACACGACAGACATATTAGGAATGACACTGGTTAGTTAATACACTGGGGTTTATAGACTGCATTCTGTAATACTGGTAAATGATTTGAACGAATTTTCACATATGACCCTAATGAAAGTTAGGCTTTTACATAATTACAGTTCTTTTCTCGGTGACGTAACATGTGCAGATGTCTGCATGTACTGTTATGTGACACATGGACCTTCAACCAAAACAGCTTTCTAAAAGGATTCTAAAATGGACTGTATCACGGTGACATCCCTGATGATGATCAACATTTGTGGCTGGAAATTTAACCTATCAACGGATATAATTGTAAGGACTGGATATTCAGTTCAGTCATATGAGGCAAATAGAACATCAGTGATATTAGTAACGTTGATGAATGACTGGAACTGGGCAGCGGTGTCTACTGTCTGTGACTTACTATATTTGTCTAATACTGCTCTACTCAATTGGGGCAGCCAAGTGGTTAAAGCACAATTGTTCAGCGGTGGGTCACTGAGAGAATATAATGACAATACTTACTAGATTGCCTAGGTTGAAGAAGCAGTCTGAGCAGGTATCGTTTTGTCGAATAGATTCCAGAAAGCTGGCCTCGGACAAATCAGTCATATTCAGCTCGGCTTGCACCACCGCCAGGTTCATCCATGTGTCTGCACGACGTGAACTGTCAATAAAAGTTGGTCATATATATCAGGGACCACACACTTACTGTGTCTCTGTATATAGTAAATTAGGGAATCGGCAAGAATTTGGAAAATAACTAAAACAGTGCATTGTGGATTGTTTTCTTAGGTAAAGTAATGACTGCACACTTTGAAAAAGAAGTTTCAGTCCTCTCAAGGGGAAAAGTCCGCTTGCTGAGAATCTGATATTTGTTATGCACAATGACGTTTGGTGTTAAAGACAGAACGTGATGAAGGTTGCAATACTTGATACTGATAGACTTCTCCAGCAGCTGTTTGGCCTCAGATACATCTCCTTGTCGTCTCAGGATGATGGCCAGGTTGAGCATGGCTTTGGCCTCAAGGGGATTCAGTCTGCGGGAAAAGATCCGGATAGTTAATACTGTCTCAGGACACTATGAATTGAGAAGGGTTCACATTACATTTATTTATTTATCTACCGTTCATCGAAGCATGACTCATAATATGCTACAGCATTTCGTGCAAATAGAATGGTAGGACCTTAATAAGTATCAGAATAATTGGTTTTTCAAACCAGCTAATAACATTCGGTAGACCCGTGAAGATCCGGGTTAGAATTGAACTTCAGTAACCCATGCTTGTCGTAAGAGTTGACTAACGGGATCGGGTGGTCAGCGTATGTCAACTGCGCACATCGCCGCTCATGTTATTAATCACTAGATTGTCTGGTCCAGGCTCGATTATTTACAGACCGCCGCCATATAGCTGCAATATTGCGTGGCGTCAATCTAAACTCACTCACTCACTCACTCATTTGGTAGGTTTACTTGTTAGTTGTTTAACAACCCGGAAATCCACAGCATGAGCATCGATCTACGCAACTGAGATACGATGATATGTCAACCGGGCCAGAGAGCATGACCATCTGATCCCGTTAGTCACCTCTTACGACTGCTGATATTTATGGGTAGCATTCGGTACGTACTCGATGGCAAGTCTGTATTTCGTTATTGCATAGTCTGTATTGTTGATTTCCTCATGATAACCGCCGAGTCCAAACTGAATCTATAATCACAAACACGCCACGTATGACGCTACAGCATTACACAATCAGAGTAATATTAGGAAGTAAAAAGTAGGCAAATGTTTTAGCTGAAGCTGATGGACAAACTAATAGTGACTATTCGAACCAGTGATTTCGGTTTATGGCAGCTTTGCAAAGCATTTCAGTTAACTTCTTTGATGGGCATTTTAGAAGTTGAGTTGATGAAGAATAATGACAATTAGTATGGATATACAACTTCTTTTATTCTGTGGAGGCGACGTTTCGACAAGCACTTGCTTGACAACGACATTAGAACCTATGTCGAAACGTCGTCTCTACAGATTAAAAGAACTAGTATATCCATAATAATTGTCATTATTCTTCATTTCAGTTAAATCAAGCTAATGTGCCTTTTTTAGAAGTATCATTCATAGACTAATGGAAGATTAATATTAAATCATGTCCATGCAAATAATTTGAGATTTTCTTTCATGAAATAGCTACCATTGAAGAATTGAATCAAAACGATAATGTATTATCCGAGGACTTCAAAATTCACCCCAGAATATTAGTAAAAAAATGCGTCCTGAGTAAAATGCATTCATATTGTCGATGCTAGTCAATCCAATAATACCTCTTTCTACATGTTATTCCTATGTCAGTGATTGGTCTGGAAGTGTCGACGAAAGAGAATTAGACTGAGATTGTTTGAGAAAGATGTCAGACACAACGGTGAACCATACCTTTGCATTCCTTGGGCATACTTTATCACCTGATGTGAACAAGGACAGTCGTGTTTTCCAATCGTTGTTTCTCTGGAAATATGTCAGTCAAAAGGAACATTTCATCTCAATATCACAAGTAAGTGAAATCTTGTTCGTGCCTTCTTTATAATATTCACAGGTGGATGGAAGGGAAAGGAGAAAGAAATAGGTCCTAAGGATAAGGAATGTCGGTGGAGGATCATACGGTGGGCTGTTATGGGGGGCTTGTTATGGGTGGGTAGGTTGGGTGAATCTAGGAAGGAGGAAGGGTGGGGCAGGAAAAGGACAGATGGGAGGGTGGGATGTCTTGGTAGGGAGGGAGGCTGAGGTACATGGCAACTGACAGTGAGTGTGTTGGATGTTTTATATTGGCGGGTAATTGCGACAGGTGCCATGTTATGTTTGTAATTGCTTATTAATTGTATTGCTCACATCTGGCATTAACAGAGGCTGTTGGTGTTTTAGCTGTTGCAAGACAAAGCGGAAGCGTTGGAAACTTTGATGGGGAGGGAGGTAAGGTTAGGCGTCTTGAGAGAGAAACGGAGTGGATGTTATACTGATGGAGGATGCAGTAGTATATAGATTGGGAAAGAAGGACGTGGTCAATTAGATAAGGATGCGCGTTAGGATAAATAGTTACATGTATGGGGAGGAGTTGGATATTTTGATAGGGGGGGGGGAGGTTTGGATAGATGGATAGGGATAAGGAAAAGGGGTGGTTCATTAGATAAGGAGGCACGTGAGGATAGATAGTTATTGGGAGAAGGAGTTGGATATTTTGATAGGGGGGTGGGGTGGATAGATGGATAGGGATAAGGAAAAGGGGTGCTTCATTAGATAAGGAGGCACGTGAGGATAGATATACAGTTTAGTTATTGGGAGAAGGAGTTTGATATTTTGATAGGGGGAGGTTAGGATAGATGGATAGGGAAAGGGGAAAGGGTGGTTGATTAGATAAGGAGGTAGGTTGGGATAGATAGTTATGGGGAGATGGAGTTGGATATTTTGATGGGGGGGGGGGGGGGGGGGTGTTAGGATAGATGGATAGGGAAGGGGAAAAAGGGGTGGTTGATTAGATAAGGAGGTAGGTTGGGATAGATTGTTTTGAGAGGTTGTGAGTAGTTGAAGTATCAGGTCAGCCTGAAGAGCTCCAAGTTGTGAAGATGTCAGATGTTTACCACGCAGGTGAAACCCCAAGTAGCAAAATCAGGGAAATGTTTTATGCGAACATATGATCCAAAGATTCTGGCACATATAAGACGTGTCACTTACCTGTATTGACCGAAGAGCAAATATAACCACGAGGAACGTCAATCCAACTGCAACTCTCTGGAATACAGACAAGGTAATATGGCATAAACCGTAGCTATGCAAAAGGCACTAAAAAAACATTTATATGAATTTATCAAAAACATACTTATCATCCATATATTTGAATTCAACATGATATCAGGTTTGGTTTGATTTGGTTGTTGTTTAACGCCGCACTCAGCAATATTCCAGCTATATGGTGGCGGTCTGTAAAATATCGAGTCTGGACCAGACAATCCAGTGATCAATAGCATGAGCATCCTTCTACGCAACTGGTATACGATGACATATGTCAACCAAGTCAGCGAGCCTGACCATCTGATCCCGTTAGTCGCCTCTTACGAAAGCCATGGGTCGCTGAAGACCAATTCTAACCTGGATCTTCACGGGTACATGATGTCTGAGGACTGACTGCCTGAGTTTGGTTTTACGCCGCTTTTAGCAATATTCCAGCAACATCACGGTGGGGGACACCAGAAATGGATGTCAGAGTTGCGACATTAAGCAGTACATAACAAGGAAACAAGGACCATATTAGTTCATATTAGTTCATATTAGTTACTGTTGCTGCTCTATATTTCAAATATGTTGTTGAAGTTATATTTGCGCAACTGTAACCGAAATAGATAAAGTATCCTTAAGACAGTGCACAAATTAATTATATTCAATATTTGTATGTATAAACATGATCACACTTCTAGTTTACATAACATGGAGGTTTGTGTAGCTACCTGTTTGTAAGTTGAGTGGAAGTGAAAGCAAATCTGTCTGGCCCCGAGCACCACCAACATACAGAAGCCAGCACAGGACAGGTACAGAATCCTCTCTGCGATCACGAAGCCCACACGGAAAAACAGGTTGCTGGCTGGCAGGAAGGGAACACCAAGCATGGCGAGTGACATTATCAGGATCCTAAAAAGGAATACAACGTAACTAGTAGCAAACGTAGTTCCTACACACATGGATGGGTTCCACTATATACACCGATTATATTTGATATTTAAAACAGTACGTGGACCAGCAGTAGTATGTCCAATGAATGTCTTGAATACTTTGGTCAAAATATTTGCATGCCTAAAAGAGGAAACAAAAATACTATCTGTTTCTAAAATACCTTCAAACCCAAAGTATAAACAACTCACCGGCGGATAGTGTTGAAATCACCATGACAACAATGGAATATCAACACCCCAAACGCAGTCCAGAGAGCTATGACTGCCAGTATTCTTGGATCAGCCAATGAGGTGATGACAGGTATACAACCCATCGCCCAATCAAAACACAGCCACCATGGGTTTAACAGCAGCCAAACGTGCATTGCATATAGGTAGTTGTAGTTGATCACCTGTGAAGAAAAGTGTGTAGAAATGTTGTTGAAATCAAGTAAAAAACAACAGTTTTCACACGTTAATGTCAAGTAGAGAGAGAGAGAGAGAGAGAGAGGAAGAGAGAGAGAGAGGAAGAGAGAGAGAGAGTGTGAGAGAAAGAAAGAGAGAGAGAGAAAGAGAGAGAGGGAGAGAGAGAGGAAGAGAGAGAGAGACACAGAGAGAGACAGAGAGAGAGAGAGAGAGAGAGAGGAAGATAGAGAGAGAGACAGAGAGAGAGACACAGAGAGAGACAGAGAGAGAGAGAGAGAGAGAAAGAGAGAGAGAGAGGAAGAGAGAGAGAGACAGAGAGAGAGTGAGAGGGAGAGAGTGAGAGAGAGAGCGAGAGCGAGTGAGAGAGAGAGAGAGAGAGAGAGAGAGAGAGAGGAGAGAGAAAGCCAGAGCGAGTAAGAGAGAGGGGGGACATGCAGACAGAGAGAGAGAGACAGACAGAGAGGGGAGGGGGAGGGATTTGAGATTCATAAATATGATAAGACGTGATAGCTATTAGTGTGAGCAAAAAATTGCATCTCATGCCAAACTCACTCTCAACACGCTGCCATTGACTAAAGAGTGCGGATTATCACCATCTCCGAATACTGGTGTTGTAGATCCCATGATCCATATTCGAGTAACGAGGAGAGACGCACCAGTCAGAAACAGGATGAGGTGACGCTTCATCAGACTCCTCATCCATGGCGACAATCGTTCCTGTCGGAGACAAATGTCGGGCAGCTCTAGTTTATGTTGGTATGTACTGATTGAATCCCCTTTCATTATGGAGACATATACAAGTGATTGCACATTGGTTCACAATCAAACAAAGTCATATCCTTATTTTCTCACATACACTCTTGATCATCATCCTTCCATCGACATGGACTCACCAAGATACTTGCATTACATCAACATAACCAACCAGTCAGATGTAACGAAAGGAGAACCTTTATGATTAATTTAAGATACTTTGATCGTTTTGATGCACCTTTATAGCTGCTTTTTCACATTCATAAAAATATTTAAAATCACAATGAACTGGCGCATTTGTCAAATATCCCTAACACAATTCTGTGATAGAATAGGTCCTCGCAGCCTGTGTGACGTGTTAACGTACCTGGACGGCGTCAGTACTGGTCAAAATATGCGTCAGCACTGTTGTCATATAACAAGAATAATGCGGTGTTTAACAACAAACTAACAAAAACATCATCAAAAGAAAAATCTTATTAATTAATTTTTAAAATCGCATGTAAATAATGCTATTGTCTTACTTTACCTTGAAAAACTGTTTGTTGAATGCGTGATTCCTGTATGACAACCACTTGAAAGGATCGACCCTACATACAACGATGACGTCGAACACACTGCAGATGCCCTGTAAACACACATTGATGTATATTTTGCATAGCGATTAGGACTGGTATGGATGTAAATTTTACAGATCGATAATCTACCTAAATATCGATCGATTGTCGATAAATATCGAAGAAGTGACTTACAGCAAAAATACCAAACAAATCTCAACATATAGCACATCACTGGTGATTAGTGACTTATCTATGCATGTTTGGAAGCAAATCATGAATAAAGACCAAACTTTGTGAATCGTGTGAGTCAGCTTAGTTCATCACAATAGATGCAAGTTTCCTCTCCATAATTACTCATTTACTTAACATCAACGATATTTCCGATTATCGATCCTTTCAGCGATATGTTAACAGTTCGGCTGGTCTGCACGTTGAGCTCTGTGACTAGCAGACACTAAGACACGTACTGTGGATCACAAGGACAAAGTGACACTGAGCAACAAGATTGGGCTTAACAATTTTACCCATGTGGGGAATCGAACCCTGGCCTTTGGCATGACGAGCGAACGCAGTAAGCACCAGGTTACCTGATCCCACGAAACCAGCGTTTGTCTGGATCATTCGTGACAACTCGTGTTTTTTCCGGGAGGTTACGTAAAGGGACGAGTGGTGACGAATGTGTCTGGACAAGTCCAAGCAGCCGCACACACGCGGCGCGTCACTATATAAGAACACGCGTCGTTAAAGCCCCTCCCCACCCCAACTTAACCCCTTTTTCTTTCCTTATTTTTCCCCATTATTTAACTCATGCAGCTTAACTGCATTCACAACTTATGCCCTTAATACTCACCCACCCCCCAACCCCCAGGCCCTATTATAAACATCCCACATATTATCCCCTATTATAAACATATTAATTATTATAAACATCCAACATATTATCCCCTATTATAAACATATTAATTATTACTTTAGCTCCCACCTACCCCGACGTAAAATCCTCAAATACGATACGATACGAAAGCCCAGTTCATGTTATCACATCAGTACTGGTTACACCGACGGTGACTTCACAGAAAAGACAACACTCAGGGCACTCACTCTTGGGTAATACAAAACACACATAATACACAACATGAGCAAAGACACGTACTGGTAAGTACTGACAACATGAACTACGACACACACAGGCCAGTATCCAAAATATATTACAATGTGACCACATCTAGAGTGTTTGCTCCCCGGGGGCGGATACAGCTTTTTGAGAAAGGGTGTGAGTGTGTGCACACTCTTGAGAAAGGGTACTGGGTGTGTGTGTGTGTGGGGAGGTGCACACACATTTTCACGAGATATTCAATGGTCATTTAATAAACCTTCAGGACAAAAAGGGGGGGGGGGGGTACCCCTCTCTGGATACGCCTATGCTCCCCATTGCCGAAAAACACAACGTTCTCTACATCGCCGCATTGACAGAAACCTCACTTATATTTTAATAGTTTCCTACTTAATCATGTCAACATGTGTTTGGGACATGCATGTCTAAGGCAATCAATCTTTCGATCGCACCTCCATACGCTCTGTGTCCTTATACTATATATATCCACGTGTTGTAGCGATGTAATTGTGGGAGAGTAATTTGTCAGTGTAGATTTGGAGTGCGCATGATCCACACAAGCTCAACAGGGTTACCATAGTCCATACTAATATGGCGCCTATAAACAGAATGATGGAAGCTGTATTTAATTCCAACAACACCGTTTGAGGAAAGCTGCGAGGGACTACTTACTATGACAGTGATGCCCTGCTCCTTACAGAAGGTGGACACGACACACAGACACATACTGGCCAGTATAGACACCAGGGAGAAGGACTCGGGGCGGTAGCTGACATGGCATGAAGCTGAAATCAGAAAGATCCATGACACGACACATAGACACATACTGGCCAGTATAGACACCAGGGAGAAGGACCCGGGACGGTAGCTGACCAAGCATGAAGCTGAAATCAGAAAGATCCATGACACGACACACAGACACATACTGGCCAGTATAGACATCAGGGAGAAGGACTCGGGGCGGTAGCTGACATGGCATGAAGCTGAAATCAGAAAGATCCATGACACGACACATACTGGCCAGTATAGACACCAGGGAGAAGGACCGGGACGGTAGCTGACCAAGCATGAAGCTGAAATCAGAAAGATCCATGACACGACACACAGACACATACTGGCCAGTATAGACATCAGGGAGAAGGACTCGGGGCGGTAGCTGACATGGCATGAAGCTGAAATCAGAAAGATCCATGACACGACACATAGACACATACTGGCCAGTATAGACACCAGGGAGAAGGACTCGGGACGGTAGCTGACCAAGCATGAAGCTGAAATCAGAAAGATCCATGACACGACACACAGACACATACTGGCCAGTATAGACACCAGGGAGAAGGACTCGGGACGGTAGCTGACCAAGCATGAAGCTGAAATCAGAAAGATCCGAGTCGACTAACGGGATCGGGTGGTCAGGCTCGCTGACTTGGTTGACACATGTCATCAATTCCTAATTGCGTAGATCGATGTTCATGCTGTTGATCACTGGATTGTCTGGTCCAGACTCGATCATTAACACTTCGCCGCTATATAGCTGGAATATTGCTGAGTGCGGCGAAAAACTAAATTCACTCACTCACTCACTCACTCACTCACTCACTACTACCACTACCACTGTTGACAATACTAATCATGTTAATAGCAATGACTATGATGATAACAAAAGGCAATAACAAATATACTCATATGAAATGCTGAGCAACTTGGCTTACACGAGGAACATGCTCTGGCATACAGGAGGAATGATAGAAGGAAGGTCAAGGCACACAGCAGGTCAGCCCGACCTACGACACCAGCAACCTGCAACAAAGCAAGGTCAAGGATAAATAATGTTCCAATACCTTATAAAAAAAAGCAGAGCAATAATTCTGTCAGGACATATATATACCATATCAGTTTAATAGCTCATTATCTGAATAGGGATTAATACTACTGGCAGAAACATTATCGCAAACACTGATATTATCACTGTCCTTTTTGACTGTTAAGCCACACAATACCATCGCCTCCAACAACGAAATGACAACAGACATCTAATTTACTGATTTAGTGCTGAAGACTCATCGATTGGTGTTTCTGCTTGGCGTAATATTAATATTTAGTTACACCCAGAACTACCAAAGGCTGCATAGATGCAGAAAAATATTACCAAACACAGTTTTGAAATTTGTGCGACATTCTCTCTTCTGTGACATCATCCATTCATTGTAGGCAAGGCAAATTTCCTGAAACCACATGCATGGTAATTCTCGCCATTTTTGACACATTATTAGATGATTATTTAGTGTAGGTTTTGAAATCTAAACATTTGCGTGATGAATTGATTTCCGGAAAACATAATATGTATTTGTATTTATATTATCATTCTGAAAGTCGCCGATGACCCAAGAATTGTTTTTGGAAAATACACAAACACGCACGCCAAAACGAACTTTCTGCATTGTTGCCGAGCGTTTGTTACATCATATTACACGCATGTTGGTTATGTTACGCCTAATTCATCCAGTATGATTCAAACTCAGCTTCCCTACATGAATCCCCGAATTCCTCCTACATTTTAAATCAAATGGCAAATTGTCTTTGTCCCTATTTCTAAGTCCCTAGATGAAATCAAGCAGAACAAAGAGAGGAAAACGTATTAGAAAACTGCTCTTGTCCGATATCTAAACAAAACAATATTCTCATTTTTTAATCCATAATTGACGCAAACTCACTCACATCGATAACGGTACTTATCAGCTTGTCTGACTATTTCCCTTTGCTACTAAAAAACCGAAGAGGGAAAATAACACCATGCACATTGTCAGAATATTTCAGATCACTTTCATGTCACATTTAGCCATGTACATTCACTGAAACTCCCTTGCTTGAACTGGCACCTATTACCATTCGTCACCACTCGCCCCTTTCCGTAACCTCCAAGAAGACGTTATTCGGCTTGTCCCGGAATAACACGAATTGGTCACGAATGACCTATTACGTCATAATCTAAGGGCGGTAATTCTGGTCTGTTTAGCTCTGAAACAAAGGGCTCACAACGGCACATTTCAACTCTTATATTGAGCTTTCTATTTTCAATTAGAGAAAAACATTGAGCGTATATTTTATTGACATATATATTGACCAATTGTAAAATTGCATTTTGTTTCAAATATTGAAATAAGTGCTTTTTGCGTGTACAGTTGCCATTTTAGAAAGGTTTTTCTGTACAGGCATTCAAGTGAAACAATTTTGTCTGGAAATATATATATTCACTTACACTCTCAGTGTGGATTGGATGCACAGCAAACAACACAGCACACAGGAGAGCAGCTCGAGGTGAGGCAAACACCGGCCTGGCAGATTCCTGGTCCACCTGGTAACCAGACATGAGGACAGAGAATACTGCCAGGAAGATGATCGACACCAAGCCGTGCAGGACGATGTTGACAACGTGGAAGCCCCGAGGATGAAGTCCTCCTGCCCATGCGTAGTTCCACCTGGTGAGTTGAAACACACCAAGTTAATCACAGGAAACGCTGACTAGTCATACTGGCTAAATATGCCGCATAAAATCATTTTGACATTTGCTTAACCGACAAAAAGTAGTTTCGGAAGCTGATTGGTCAGTTCAAGAAACATCAATTTTCATTGGACAATGAGACTCTTTTCTCCGAACTCACACATCCACAGCATTCATCCAGATATGTTACAATCTCACAGATTTTTAGACAAGAAACATATCTTCATGTCAACAACAGGATTTCACATCAAAATCTGGTGTCCAACTAAGCATGCATTTATTCCACATTGTTTTCAGCTTGATGAAACGCTCCCAACCACCACCACCCCACACACCCCAAAAAAAACCAAAAACAAACAAACAAACCCCCAAAACAAACAAAAAACAACTAATAACACCAACATCAAACAAACCCAAACCTACGTTTGTTTTGTCACCATACATAATGGCTGACCATTTGACACGTGTCAGAATAACAGGCCCATTAAGGTGACTGGAGACATATGTTCTGCAATCACTTGTACCTCGCTGGATGTTACACATATGTTCATTTCATGTGATAGGATTATTTCAAGTTCATAAGTTTTACATGGAATGCATAATACACAAACTGAATATAAACAATGACAGATGTACTGAGCCTTGTTGGACCGCCTTCGTGGTGTAGTGGTTAGAGCGTCCGCACGGAGAGCGGAAGGTCGCGGGTTCGATCCCCGACCGCGTCATACCAAAAAAGACGTTAAAATATGGTACTTGTTGGTCCCTGTCTGGCGCTCGGCAATAATGGGTACAACAAGGACTGGTCGGCTCGGAGTCAGTATAATGTGTCTGAGTGGGGTATTCATGCTTCACTGCGGCATGGTATCTCAGTGGGCTAGCACTATAAAACCAGCTTAAGTCTGGGCTAGTCAAAGCAGCCGCACATACACATACACACGCATGCACGCACGTCGTCATATGAGCGAAATATTCTCAAGCACGACGTTAAACCCAATTTCACCTCACCTCACTGAGCCTTGTTCTGTGAATATTTGCTAATATAGTTAGGGTTCATTACACATTTCTAAAAGTGAAATATGCAAAAAATATGCTAGGTAATCGTCAGAAAAATAGCCCCCAAATATTCACGATCCCAAACTGCCTATAACCATTGTCGTGGCACATTATACCTGTAAGTCATCACAGTAATTGGCCTGTATGACTTGTGACTCTTTTCATCCAACAACTGTCCCCAGAAATCGTGTGAAAATATCGCTGTGAGTGGTGTTTCGGGTAATATATCCTTATTGTTGGTGATGGCCCATAAGTCATCAAACACAAACTCCCCGTCATAGCTGTTCGCGAAACACAGCACCGCCAGACAGAAGACGAGGACAGATGCCACAGAGAAGCTGAGTTTGGGTACAGGCAGAACATCGTCCCACTCTGACTGGTGACAGTTTTCGTTGGTTTTCCTCTTTCCTCGTTTTGCTGCAACTCCTTGCATGATTAGTGTCGCCTAGAATAACAAGAAGAGCGTACTGAGTAAATATTGTGAAACAATGATTAACATCAGTTTCGTACGAAGCTTACACAATAATACAAAAAAAATAGAAAACAAGTCAAGTTTCCCACAAGGTCTTGGCTGTTAAGAATTAAGTATAAGAAGCAGACAATAGAACGCAGTCCTGGCAACAGATGATATCTTAGTTCAAAGTGAATCCATTCAGTTGTATACATAAGGTCAGCTATCCATTCACAGAATAATACAGCCTCATATCATTCATGTATACACATCTGAGGTGTCCTTCATATGTGTGCAGAGTGTATATGTATGTGATCGAACCCCCATCTTATGCTCTTCGTTTTCAAACAGCCCATGGAGTTCCGAGCCAGATATTAATGCTGATTCTGTACTGATTTTGGATATCAACTGGCGTTGATGTTTTATGTTAGTTATGATCTTAATGCTCTGTAACATCAATTAAAATATTCAAACTTCCTAAAAGTGGAGCTTGTGTTAGTTCATCAAAGAGACAGATGTCTTCATTTACACGAGAGACTGGAACTCAAAGTTATTCAATCCATAATTCTGCCTGTTGTGGTGCTTATCGGGGTGGTTTGTCCAGAACAATAGAATCGATGGATTCATCGAAACATATCTTATTCTTGATAGTGGGAGTACCAACGCATTCTGTTCTTAAGGATTGATTGAACAACTTGTCATACAGGAAAGCAAATCTCGTCTATTACTTGCTACATTTACCAATGAATACTGTGAATCCGAGACCAACTTGCATTTTAGTGCGACCATCGCATGTGTTTGTGATACCCAAACTATCTATGCCGTCTGAAAGTTTAGCCAACCAAACGGATGTGGATAAATAACGTCATTTACAATCATTACTCTGCCAACATGGGTCATGTAATAATAACTTTATTGACTTAACAAGACAATCCGTCTTCGGTCACTGCTCTACATGGAATGGGCCACTGGAACAAGGTAACCAAGCAGGGGTAGTATCTAACTTTACTCCAGCAGCCACAACCATGAGTCCTAAGAGGACAGAGTCAAGATAGTACACCACAAAGGTCTGAACGAAATCCTGTTTATGACGTACACCAATCATCTATTATGCCTAGAGTTTTTTGGTCCCTGTCGGTAAAGTAACCCAGGGACTCAAGTCAACAAGACGTAACGCTGACTGCTGCTAATAAGACTTGGGGGGAGAGGGGGGGGGGGGATCTGTGAACAGTGTTATTATTGACATTTCTGTTTGATGGAGACTCATATTTTTGGTTACTTATCATGTGTACTATCAATCTGCATTTCGTCTTAAGAAAGTATCAAATTATCATATAAATCACGTGACTTCTCGTATGGTTTCGTGGTATTCATGTGAGCAGCCAGGGTATTCATTAAGTAGTTAAGCTCTTCAGTTGTATAGAAAAAATGCCCATTCTATTACACAGGTTGAACAGTGTCATGTAGGATTTAAAACTCAGTCCCAGTCTGCGATATTTAGCCACGACACATGTTACACGTTGCCTCTTCGGACACAGCACATATAAGAACGCGTTCATGATAGAATCAGCGCTTAACCTAGATTAATCGGGCGTTCAGGCTTGATGACATGCTTGATGCATGCTATTGTATCTCGTTTGCGTAGAACCGCCTTCGTGGTGTAGTGGTTAGAGCGTCCGCCCGGAGAGCGGAAGGTCGCGGGTTCGTTCCCCGACCGCGTCATACCAAAAGACGTTAAAATATGGTACTTGTTGGTCCCTGCCTGGCGCTCGGCATTAATGGGTACAACAAGGACCGGTCGGCTCGGGAGTCAGTATAATGTGTCTGAGTGGGGTATTCATGCTTCACTGCGGCATGGTATCTCAGTGGGCTAGCACTATAAAACCAGCTTAAGTCTGGGCTAGTCCAAGCAGCCGCACATACACACGCATGCACGTCGTCATATGAGCGAAATATTCTCAAGCACGACGTTAAACCCAATTTCACCTCACCTCACCTCACCTCGTTTGCGTAGATCTGAACTCATTATATCAATCTTTGGGTCTCAATCAATTGCAGACCGAATTCATTGAGTGTAATGATGTAGAACATATCACAGACAACCTTCAGGCAGTTGTACACGCCTCGCATTAGTGTGAGATCGATTTTGCAACTGGGTCGTTAGCCCTGTCCAGAACCCTGTCCAGTACCTTATATAAGAAACGCACGATGGTCTGACGTGTTAAGGAACATTTGACATGATGACGTCGCCGAATGTGTTCTGTCTGTTGTTGCTCTCATAGATATTTCAGCTATATGAGGGTGGTCTGTAAATAATCAAGTCGACCCACCATGAGAATCGATCTACGAATATCCTGATACAACATACAAAAACAAAGTCAGCGAGCCTGACCACCCGATCCCCTTCGTCGCTTCTTATGACAAACATGAATTGCTGGATTTTTAATGAATGCATTAACTCAGATAGTGCCCGGCGATGTTCATAAAGAAAGAACCGAGTGTGTAAATCCTGCTCATATCACGAGAAAAAAATATATATTCCTTTCAGGAGTAATTAGTCAATTGTACCATTTATACATAATTCATTGTCAATCGGATATTTCAGAAACACCATATACCTGCATTTTCTATTTTGGGAAATGAAATGATAATTACCTTCTCGTAGCCCTAATGTAATGGCACACTCCTCAGTGGAAGAGGTTGTCCTCCAAGTATCCGTGTCTGTGTGGTTAGAAAACAACCGATGCGATGTAAACTATCAACTTTCTTGCTCACATCCATATCTCTCCTGTCTGACACATCATTACACTGCTTCTGTTGTTGTTACGCCAACTGGTGGTAGCCACTGACACTTTGTGGTAAATTCTGTATGGCCTCCGACTGAAGTTCTTCGCGTTCACATAGAGATATCAAGTTTGGGCCATACAGATTGTTTCACAGACTTCTCCCCTGATGTACATTTTGACAACAGCCAGTGCACTATCACAAATAAACCTTTGCCTCGAAGCAAAGAATTCTTAAGTTTGTCCGTCGTCTAATCGCAGCCAACGAGACATCGTGTACATGTGTTAGCAGACAGTCGCCGCGTCACCGTAAGCTATTGTGACCTGCTCGTAACGATTGTTTGTACCACAGCTTGGCATATAACCGTATTGCCTATATTGCTTAAACTAACTTCAACAAAGCAGACATATGTCACAGATCGAACCCACAAACTGTTGGCTCTTTCTGCATTGGCAAGGAAACACATTCTCCTGATATCAACAATATTTCACTGGAATAACTTTGTTTATAGATGTGTATCTGTCAGTAATTGATTAAGCTGGATGAATGGTACCATGTAGAGAATCGAACCTGGACCTTCGGCGTGGCGAGCAAACGCCTCAACCACTACCACTACTCATGCCAAGCCACACGTCGAGCTATGAGTGTACAGGAGATCACGGACATGGTCCGGTACAACCTGCAACTCATCCCAAACCACACGTCGAGCTATGAGTGTACAGCAGATCACGAACATGGTCCGGTACAACCTGCAACTCATCCTAAACCACACGTCGAGCTATGAGTGTACAGCAGATCACGGACATGGTCCGGTACAGCCTGCAACTCACCCCAAACCACACGTCGAGCTATGAGTGTACAGCAGATCACGGACATGGTCCGGTACAGACTGCTACTCATCCCAAACCACAGGTCGAGCTATGAGTGTACAGCAAATCACGGACATGGTCCGGTACAGCCTGCAACAGACCACACTGACAATGACTGACCATTGAGGATTAAGTAATCAACAACTGAGCATCAGGGATTGATCACTAGAAGAAGAAGAAGTTTATTGCATTTTACGTATCCAGCCCACATACAGAGTAAACAAAATACAGAGTAACTTACACAATTGGATGATTGAGCATCAAAGCAATCAGGCATTGAGCAGTAACAAAGTAATCAAGTATTGGGGATTAGCAAAGTAATCAGAGATTGAACATTATCAACGTAATCAGGGATTCAGCTTGGTCAAAATAATCAGGGATTGAGCTTTATCAAAGTAATCAGGGATTGAGCTTTATCAAAATAATAAGGGATTGAACTTTATCAAAATAATCAGGGATTGAGCTTTATCAAAATAATCAGGGATTGTGCTTTATCAAAATAATCAGGGATTCAGCTTTATCAAAATAATCAGGGATTGAGCTTTATCAAATAATCAGGGATTGAGCTTGATCAAAATAATCAGGGATTGAGTTTTATCAAAATAATCAGGGATTGAGCTTTATCAAAATAATCAGGGATTGAACTTCATCAAAATAATCAGGGATTGAGCTTGATCAAAATAATCAGGGATTGAGCTTTATCAAAATAATCAGGGATTCAGCTTTATCAAAATAATCAGGGATTGAGCTTTATCAAAATAATCAGGGATTGAGCTTTATCAATGTTATCATGGACTGAGTATTGTCAAAGTTTTCAAGTATTGGGGATTATCAAAGTAACCAGGGATTAGGGATTAGCAAGGTACTGAGCATTGTCATTATCAAAGTAATCCAGGATTGAGCACTGTCAAAGTAATCCATTGATTCTGTCCGGTCAATCAGACGTATCCTTTTCCTGCTAAATCCTACGAAAATGTCCAAGCGTGTGAATTCATCAACAGACAACATACCGATCCATAGGAATGTCAGTCAATGTTCTATCAGAACTATGCACCATATTACTTCAAAACACACTGACCTAACAGGCGCAAAATAAATCACTCGAACGTATATGATCTACTCAGTGATGTCTTGTAGAGGAAATACGGTATGATAGTTTTGGATGTGTTTGGGGGTGATTTTTACGGGTTTTTTATGATGAGGTGACAACGCTAAACGAAGGCAAATGTTTGGCATACAAATTCCAAACATCCTAATATCTTAGGTGCATGCTTGGTAATTTTCTCATCGAAAGAAACGAAATATAAAACGGGCTGTCATAAATAATGTTTTAAAAACTTTATTATTGATAGCATTCTGTTCGATATTCATCTCATATCTGTCGGCCACCAACTTCAGGGTTTGGCAGGTAGAAATCTTAAAGTCACTTTGAAAATTGCTCCCTTCCAAAAACCACAAAAGCTCTAAAAGCTCCGGAACAGCCTGCAACTCATCCCAAAACACACGTCGAGCTATGAGTGTACAGCAGATCACGGACATGGTCCGGTACAACCTGCAGCTGACCACTCTGACAATGACTGACCTATGAGTGATTACCAAAGTAAAGCGGCATTAATGATTATTAAAGTAATCAAGAACTGAGCATCAGGGATTGACCACTAGGAGAAGATGACGAAGTTTATTGCTTTTTACGCATCCAGCCCACATACAGAGTAAACAAAATACAGAGTAACTTACACAATCGGATGCTGCAGATGAATTGAGCAGTAACAAAGTAATCAAGTATTGGGATTAACAAAGTAATCAGGGATTGAGCATTATCAACGTAATCAGGGATTGAGCTTTATCAAAATAATCAGAGATTGAGCTTTATCAAAATAATATGGGATTGAGCTTTATCAAAATAATCAGGGATTGAGCTTTATCAAAAAAATCATGGATTGAGTTCTATCAAAATAATCAGGGATTGAGCTTTATCAAAATAATCAGGGATTGAGCTTTATCAAAATAATCATGGATTGAGCTATCAAAATAATCAGGGATTGAGCTTTATCAAAATAATCCTGGATTGAGCTTTATTAAAATAATCATGGATTGAGCTTATCAAAAAAACACGAATTGAGCTTGATCAAAATAATCAGGGATTGAGCTTGATCAAAATAATCAGGGATTGAGCTTTATCAAAATAATCAGGGATTGAGCTTTACAAAAATAATCAGGGATTGAGCTTTATCAAAATAATCAGGGATTGAGCTTTATCAAAATAATCAGGGATTGAGCTTTATCAAAATAATCACGAATTGATCTTTATCAATGTTATCATGGACTGACTATTGTCAAAAGTTTCAAGTATTGGGGATTATCAAAGTAACCAGGGATTAGGGATTAGCAAGGTACTGAGCATTGTCATTATCAAAGTAATCCAGGATTGAGCACTGTCAAAGTAATCCATTGATTCTGTCCGGTCAACCAGACATATCCTTTTCCTGCTAAATCCTACGAAAATGTCCAAGCGTGTGAATACATCAACAGACAACATACCGATCCATAGGAATGTCAGTCAATGTTCTATCAGAACTGTGCACCATATTACTTCAAAACACGCTGACCTAACAGGCGCAAAATAAATCACTCGAACGTATATGATCTACTCAGTGATGTCTTGTAGAGGAAATACGGTATGATAGTTTTGGATGTGTTTGGGGGTGATTTTTACGGGTTTTTTATGATGAGGTGACAACGCTAAACGAAGGCAAATGTTTGGCATACAAATTCCAAACATCCTAATATCTTAGGTGCATGCTTGGTAATTTTCTCATCGAAAGAAACGAAATATAAAACGGGCTGTCATAAATAATGTTTTAAAAACTTTATTATTGATAGCATTCTGTTCGATATTCATCTCATATCTGTCGGCCACCAACTTCAGGGTTTGGCAGGTAGAAATCTTAAAGTCACTTTGAAAATTGCTCCCTTCCAAAAACCACCAAGGCTCTGAAATACATGGGCGGTGGGGCAGCCTAGTGCTTAAAGTATTCGCTCGTTACGCCGAAGACCCGGGTTCGATTCCCCACATAGGTTCAATGTGTGAAGCCCATTCTGGTGTCCCCCGCCGTGCTATTGCTGGAATATTGCTAAAAGCGGCGTAAACCTAAACTCATTCACTGTAAAATACATGTCTGCATAGTGCCAGCACGGGCACTTGGTAACAGTAGCTAATCGAGCAAGATGACATCCGAACACACACAATTAAGCAAGGTATTCACGAACCACTGAGTCATGTCCACAACTGTCTATAGTTTTTTCACATCGCTGTGTTGAATGAGCTCCTGAAGATTCGGGTTAGAATTGGTCATCAGCAACCCATGCTTGTTGTAAGAGGCGACTAACGGGGTTGGATGGTCAGGTTCGCTGACTTGGTTGACAAATGTCATCGTATCCCAATTGCGTTGATCGAGGCTCATGCTGTTTGATCACTGGATTGTCTGGTCCAGACTCGATTATTTACAGACCGCCGCCACTTAGCTGGAATATTGCTGAGTGCGGCATAAAACTAAACTCTCTCACTCACGGGCCAAGAAGTCTGATAATCAGTCGAAATTGTGTGTACATATATACACCTACGTCCAATAGTTGCTTCATGAACATTCAATCTGGGTACCGAATATTCCACATATCAGTGTTGTGGTCAGCACGATACCTCGTTCAATGATTTCACCAAACAGTACATGAACCAACAAGAGGCCGTGATATAACTATTCTCTATACTACTACATAAGTCTTCAAAGTGAGGCACGACCCTCTGTGACTCTGGTTTCTTACCCAGGTCCTCCAGCAGCAGAAGGTAGTTTCTCCAGCTCCCTTTCGATGTCGGGCTAATCTGTGTTGCTCTCTGCCAAGCAGCGATGGCTTCTGTAGGACGTCCGGAGTATTACATTGTAATAATCGGAGGGCGATACTTAATTTCAGAACTTCAAACCATTATCTACCAATTGAAACAGGACGATGGATCAAAACTCCCCCAATAAAAGAATATGTACTCTAAATGCAAACAATATTGGAGATGAATTTCACTTTTTGTTTATTTGCCCTACTTTGGCCCAAGAAAGGAAAAGAATATAGTGACAACTATTTCAGTAGAAACCCGAATATGCTCAAAATGAACCAGCTTTTTTACTCTAATAAACTTGGAACAATTAGGAAATTTGCAATATTTTGCAAAATAAAAATGTCTCATTTTAAGCAACGCCCCCACAAAAGATAACCAATAACGCATTAGTATAACATTGTATATTTAACTGTTGTAGAGTGTGTAAAATCGTAAAATAATCATTCCTATGATTCCAGTCTGTTAAAACATTTTCTGCTGATTTGCATTAGTGAAAAGGCTTGCAAAGGAACATTTTTCTGTTTACACATAGCAATTAT